TTGCATAGCTAAGTGAATCTAGCTGTAATGGTACACTGTATGCTGGAGTCTCTGATCATGCTGATGTACCTGGCCTCTACCTGTCCTCTAACTACACTCCTTGTATTCTCAGCATTTTGCTATTCACTTGATGTATGCAGGCACTGAATCTCTTCAGTAAGTAGTAGTAGCATCATTTGGTTACATACCTGTTTTAAAACCTATTCTTCATGTCTTTATCATAGTTTTTGCTCATGATTTTCATTTTCCCTCTAACCTACTCTCTCCAGTTTAGTATTCATTTTATCCTTCCACTATTCTCTTTGCATTTACATCTTCTCCGCTGCCTTTACTGAACAAAACTGGTCATTTTGATAATAGTAGTAAAGGCTTGCCATAGAACATGTCTTTTTCCCCTGGTTGACATGTGCTAAATTACCAGAGGCCTGAAATATCTCACGGTCTTAGCCCTAAAACCATCGACCATCCTAACATTTGAGATGGTCCTTTTATCCCACAGTGGAATTCAGTCAGAAAAACTGGCTTCGAAATTAAGGCTGAATTTCAGAAATACCAACATAATAAGAAAGCCAACAAGGCACAAAGCAGGTTGTATACCTTTAAGATAATGATTAAAAAATGTAAACTGGTTCATTCTGTCAAGAAAGCTGTGGAGGATTTACAGAATGAATGTTGACAATTATGTGACTGTGTTATGAATTACTGCTTACGAAGAGAATATGTTATGTGCTATGAAGAGATCAGGAAAAGTAATTAGCAATAACAATGCTACCTATGACATACTGTCTTCCTCTTGAGGCTATGAGGTTATTTAATACTTACTTAGTTCTCCAAATGCAATTGCAGAGACTGTACTTAACAAAGCCTTTTTTTTTCAAAGCAAATGTGTACACTTTTTGTGCTTATTAATATTGCTTACACATATCCTTTAAGGTCATGGAAAAGTCAAAATTTCCATGAAACCTATTGCCAGCTCTCTCAAATTTAATATAGAGGGTGCTGCAGGTCAAACCAGGCTGCAGCAACCTGAGAGACTGCTGGCACTTGTAGTGTAACTGGAGAACCTGAAGTAGAACATTTCTCATGGTCTTAGCTTCTTGACTGTTGCCTTCAAATTCAGAATGGGGCAACATAACATAACGTGTAGGAGCAGGAGTAGGCCATTTGGCCCTTCGAGCCTGCCCCGCCATTCAATCATGTCTGATCTTCTAATCTATCTCCAGCTAATAACCTAACCCTGCCTTATCCCCATATCCCTTAATACCTTTTGCAGGGTATTAAGGGATATGGGGATAAGGGTATTTCTAAACTTCTGCCTCAATTTTTCCAGATTATATATAATATATATAATAATAATCCTTGCATTTGATAGAGTGTCTTATCCCATCTTCAAGAAGACCTGGGACGTCTTTCCAATGTGAAGGGTGCTATAAAAGTGTAATTTGTTGTTGTTGTCTCCTAGCTTCACAGCACTGTCGTAGATTGAGTGACCAAATTATTATTATTTTTAATTTTTTGAAGCGATTATTACCCCAGGAAAAGTGATCTACCAATCGACTAACAAACAGGTTCCTACTTACTGCTGGATAAACAGGCATGTGGAGTAAGGAAACTTGCCTAACGTTTCGCTCTGCCTGGGAATCAAATCCAGGTCCTGTCGTTTGTGAGGCGAATGGTCTAAACAATATGCTGTGGGACACCACCAATGTCACGAAAGCCTTAGAGACGTTATCCAAGATTATTCCTATCAATAAGTTAAATTAAAAATGAGCTCTCTTTAAAAGGACATTTAGAAATTATAATAATAATTAATAATAATTGCATTTGATATAGTGTCTTATCACATCATTGAGACATCAAAACGTGCTTCACAGGATATACTATAAAGTGTATTTTGTAGGTGAACACGGCAACCAATTTGTACACAGCAATGTTCCATATCAGTCATGAAGAGATTGATCAATTTTATTTGGGGGATTGTCGACAAGGACACCCGGAGAAACTCCCTTCTCTTTGCGAACAGACGGGACCTCATCATTGTCTACTTGCTTTAGTTATATTAACTGGTATTCACAAATTGTCTTTGTGCTTCGTACTGTACATTTTCCATCATATGATTAATTTATGGTGATTACCGATTTTGGACTGCAGCTTAAATAATTGAAGAGGTGTCTGTTCACCTGAACAGAGTAGAATGAAATTAAATATGGTCTGGCCTCCAACCTGAGGAACTGAAGTTTGTTCCAAAATAATGTGTATTAAACTACGAAAGAAGACTGTAGCTCTGTGACTGATTAATTAAAATAGTTATTTTGGTTGGGAGGTGGTGGCGGGGAAGGGAGAAGAGGAAATGTCCTCGTACTTTTACTGAGAGAAGCTGAGAGACATAGGAACACATTTGGTAATGGAAAAAGCAATTGTGGCCCAATGGGCCTGCCCATAGTAAGACAAAATAATGCTACATTTACTCTCACATTTACAAATCTATGTAACTCTTATCTTGCATACCCCTCAATCAATGTTATCTCCAAATAGCTAGCGTATTCCCTATTGAATTTCCTGACACAATTTAACACATTTCAGAAAAACAGAACTGGTCTTTCAGGTCAAGTACAAATACATTATTAATCCAGAATATGCAGCCAATTTGCACACCTTGTCGTATCCAATTATAGAGACCAAGGGTAACCCACACAGAGCTTTACTTTAACTGTGTGGCTGCCAGCTTACCCACTTAGAAGAGAGGCTGTTGTGTTTGGTGAGCTCAGCTGGAGCAGTGGTCGTGATGTTACAATTGGCTTTTGTTCTCCTGGGCTAGGAAAGTGAGCTCAGCCAGGTTTCCTGCTCGCTGGCCAGAATCCTCTGAAAGTGAGTGTGTGTAGATGTCAGATAAGGATAGGATTGGGCTTGGCTGTAATGCCTCCCATGTTAGCCCACATAATCACCCGTAGTAAACACTGCGCCCCCATCACACCACTTCTAACCAGGCTCCACTGGCGTCCTATCACAGAACAAATCGATTTCAAGATCCTTTCATTCGTCTACAGATCCCTTCATACTTTGACACCTCCCTCCTTTTTTGACCTGCTTTCTCTCCACTCCCCGCCTCCTCTCAGCTGGCTCTGGTCTCCTACTTGTCCCTCGTCTCCTCCGCTCCACCATCGATGGCCTGCTTTCAGCCACTACACCCCGAAGCTTTGGAACTCTTACTCCAAATCCTCCACCTTGCCCCCTCCTTTTCATCTTTTAGATCACGACTGAAGGCTTTCCTCTTCGACCATGCTTACGGTCACCTCATCCCTCCCCCCGGGTCGGCGTCAGTCTCCGCCACTGTTAAGCGCTCCAAGGTGTTGCCCATCATGAAGGGCGCTATATAAATGCAGGATGTTGTTGTTATTGTTGTTGTTACATTTGGCTTCAACCGTCTCTGGTTTAGGGGAAATGAGGCAGGTTTCCTGCTCCTGACCACTGGCCATAATTCTCTGAAAGAGAGTGCGTATGGACATAGGGCAAGGGTAGGATTGGCCTTGGCTGTGATGTTTCCCATGTTAGAATAGTCTGCCAGGGCTCAATGTTCATGCTGACATGTCATGAATAGCCAGGCAGGCGAGGTCTGGATCCCATAGAACTGCACCTACCCCCGTGGTCATGAACCACATCATCCAAGAGGCGAATGGAAGATGATTTGAGTGGATTCTAAACAAAAAGGTCAAAATGTTGTTTTATCCACGAGGGTTACTGCTCTGTTCACATCCTGTCCTGAACAATACAAAGTTTACGAAGAATACATTTTGAGAATCAGCTTTGTAAGTGCAAATGGTTCTGGTGTTTCTGTCTGATCTTCTCACACAGGGAGTCCAAGGGTAACCCACACAGGGCTATACTGTAACTCTGTATCTGCTAGTGTTTGGTGTTATTGTGGAGTGGTACCCTCTGAGGAAATGAACAAGGCCTGTCGAAAAGATCCTTTTGTTCTTGTGCAGCAGATATTGTTTCATGGCGATAGTGTTGAGTTTTGGAGGAGTCATGGGCATTTGAAGTGAGTGCAGGGAGTGGGGGTTAATGTGTGAGCGGCAAAATCTCGGTGATATGAAACCAGACAGGTCAGCCTTCTCCCATTACACACTGCATTGTAAGAACTGAGTGCATCATGACACCAGATAGCTGCCGACTGGTCCAGTGAGCTGTGTAGATCAGCTAAAGCCAGGGAGGACAGGAGCAGCAGCACCGAGCAAGCGGGCAGACGATCAACAAAGGGCAAGAATAAAAAACATTGGCTCGCTTCTCACAGAATGGAGAACTTCTGGATGTATCAAGTAGATTATCGAGATAAGGAGGTTTGTCAGGGTGCCTGGATTAGAGGAAACCTGAGCTGAATATTGCAGGATTTAGATGTTGTGTTTGCTGTGTGTGGTTTTGTTTGGCTCCGCCAGTTTTAAACGTTCCTGCTAAAGTTGGAGATGTCCTGGTGAGGAAGGCGTCGCTGGGCCATTCTTGCCCTCTGTCCCTCTGCTGTGACCCACTGACGTTTACTGATGGCTTTCGGCTCCTGACTATCTGACGCAGGATTCCAGCACTCGCAGCCTGTATTAGATTTGTAAATCACAATAGCCATGTGATCCACATTTGCCTCACAAATAAAACTCCCAATACTTGGGAAGTACTGACTGCTGTGTTTGAAAAATGTATTGTGTTCGTGTTGGATAATTCAAAATCTAGGTCTGATTAGAACTGGTATTTTATACAGTGCTCTTATGTGACTTGTTTTCTGCCTGGCCTCCATTTGTACCCCTCTTTCCTCCCTCACCCCCACCCCAATCCTCCCTGCATGTAGTTTGCAAGGTAACAGGAATGTTTTTGTGCTATTATAAACTACAGTAAATTTCCCCTCATTGCCCACAGTGTTACGAGCTGAATCGTTTGGTCTGGAGTGATTTGCCCTCAGTACGTAGTAGCACCATGACTCAGCTTTGACAATATTTTTTCCCCCCTGTCTTTAGCAATCTCCATCACCTGGCTCCTCTTCACCCCAGGGTGCAGAGTCATCTGTGCGGTCGCATCAGTCCGACATAAATGATACAGCAGAAACATCAGCAAATCGAGAGGTACGCACTGTATTGCCAGGTTTTGTTCCTCCTCTTCCCCACTCCCCCCCGAGCTCTATAGCCTTTACCTCTAACAGAAATAATTTATCGCACTATGTGTGTTCCGCAACGGGATAACTGGACTTTAAGCAATTCCATTTCCTGATAGTCTGTGTTACAAATTAAAGTTAAGCTTCAGTGCAAGAAGAGTTTCCTATCGATCAATTCTTGGAATAGCTTTTGTGAACGTTTATTGCAGAACAAGTGCAAGTGTTCCTGTTTGTCGTGCATGTGAGTGGTAAAGTGAGATTCACCACGGGGTGATAATGGAAGGATGGCAACCAGAATTTAAATATTGGTTTTGATCAGCAATGTCAATTTTAATTTATTTTGTTTGTTGTAGGATTTTATCCTGCAACGATTGGGTGCGTGTTCATGTTTTTTTCATATTAATAAATGCAGATGGAAATCTGTACCATGTTCTTGACAGGCACATCGAATAATATTGAGGGGTTGGATTTCCGTATGTTTCGACCCCTGTAGTTTGAGGATTGACTGTCCCCCGAGCATTTTTAAACCGGTTTTGCCTTTTCAAATTACTTGCCATCCAAATACCTCTACAAAATGTACGCAGAGGATGGGAGGATGAAGTTAGAGCTCTTGCTAACTCTTGCAAATGATCACGCCTTCTTATGGAGTGCCCCCTCATACTTCATTTATACTGTACGTGTGGCAGTGAATCACCAGGACTGAGTCAGCCATTTGATGCCAATGGAGTACAAATTGGGCGTGGAGCCAGACCCCCTCCTCCTGACACCAGTTGGAGGAGCTGTACTCAGGAGCAGTGCGATTAGCGTCCAGCGTAGTGTGGTGTCTGACACCGTACTGCCCTGCAGGTCAGTGAAGGTTCCCACGATGTTCATTGAACCACAGGGGAATATTCAATAATCTATGTTTTAATGTTGTTCATTCATGTGTTTGGCTGTTTAATAACGTTGAAATAAAGGAATCGTGTTTGCTTTCATGGCCCCAATTTGATGTGGATCAGGAAGTATAACTCCAACCAATGTATACTTCTGGACTTCTGCAAGTGAAGACCTATAAGTTGTGTGTATTTGTGTCGTACCTACCGGCTTATAGCATCAGCTGCAGCTGGATCGAAGACAAAGATACATAGATGGGAAGGAGTGACCGAAGGGCCCATAGACTTGATGCTGCAGATGACAAATAGTTGGTGCAAAGATGGGGAAAGGGCATGTGGCATGAGGAGCACGAGAGAGCCCCAGAAATTGGGAGCTGGGGGGGAGGAACTTTCTGTATTACACTGACACCAAATCAGAACCTGAAAATGCTATGAAAAACACAGAAAGTCATCCGGCATCTGAAACCGTTTTACGCATCAGTCAGAGCTTCGAAGCAGGGGTACTTACCTGAAAGCAAAATGTGATGTCCTCGTTCAGATGTTGACCCACCTGCTGCACATTTCCATCATTTTTTATGTTTTTTTCTTTTTAATCTATAAAATGGAAGTCACGAGTTTACAGCAATAAGTTCCCTGTACTGTTGAACATTTTTCACCCCGTTTTCCAATGGAGGTATTTCCACCGGTGGTTTTATTGGTTGTTTCACTGAAACCTGATTGTGTTATTGCAAGAGTCAAATCTCACTACGAGCAATAAATGATCACAGTCTGTAACAAGCCTTGTTCATCGGCTTGTATGTACTGCAAAAAAAAGCCTATCCAACATCTTACCCTAACCTTGCTTTCACTAACTCCTGCATCATTTTACAGATCCCAGAGCGTAATCTAATGTGTGACCTTGTCATAATGATGAGCGAACTAACCAGTGCTTTTACAAGGCTAACTTTTTTTGATATTTCTACATGTGCATTCAAACTCTTACTCAGTTAGACGTGGATGGAGAAGCACCGTAGGAACCTTTGTGAAACGTTTGTTAGACTCGATTCAGGAGGCAATTGCTGAATTTGTATCTGGTGTTTGGAATGCGATGTATATTTTAAGGGGGCTGGGAGGACGTAGTACTTTCATTCTGTGATTGGACAAAAATTGAAGAGACATTAAAGTTTTACATCTGGTCATTTCACATATTGTGAAGGATATTCTGACTGGGGAGCTATTTGAATGGAGCTGGTGTCTTTGTGATCTGTACATTTTGAAGCTAGAATACTCACTTCCATATCATGATATGGCACAGAAATGGGCCATTCAGCTCAATTAATCCATTGCTGGTAACTTGACACAACAGCAGCGGCCGGTTGCGCTAGGCTGCAGACCGCATTTGAATGCAAATACCATCGTTTAACCATCGTTGACTGAAAGTTATCCATAGCTTCTGAAGAGTTGCTAACTATCTGAGATCTTTCAGTGAATCTCATGTGGGTTAGAAGTGGAAGTGGGTTAGTATTCAGTACTTTAGTGGCCCAGTTTCCCGGAAGTGCAAATTTTGCAAATGCCTCTTTAATCAGTGAGGTTATTATTCTGTGAAAACAAAGAGATTTCTAATGTTGCACGGGTTTGGCTACCAGCATGCTGAATACAATGCTTGTGGTACTGACTGGCTGATTTACGTTTCGCATGTGGTGTGGTGTCTGAAGCAGTGTTTGTCTTAATTTCAGTCCAGAAAAAGTTTGGCTTCATTTCCAACCTATGTCGAAGGTAAGAGCTTTTTCAGGCTTCTTTTTTCAAAGTAATTTCAGCAGTGTTTGACTCCAGTTAGCACTATCTTTTCTGGCAAATAATTCTTTATCGGGTTTAATTTTTAAAGTTGTATCAGCAGATGATTTTAAATTGCTCTTTAGAAGCACAACACAGGTTTTGTAACACATACTTTAGAAACGTGATTTTTCTTTTACGATTCGTGAGTTGTGCATTGGCTTGAAGTCGCCAATAAGAATGGCAATTGGTTTGTCAATAACAGTGGCACAGCTTATTGGGACTCCGGCCTTACAGTAGTGCAGATTGGTAGACCACAGGGTGCTTGCATTTTCCCTGTGTGGCATGTCACTCTGTCTTGGCTTCGCTGTTGGAGGCTGAGGCACAGAACAAGTGCAATGTACATCTTCCTCTTACTTTGTTACCACCTCCCCTCGAAAGACACACCCTCTCCACACACAGACACGCGCCCATACAGTGCAAAGACTCATATAAATTCATCAATGAGCACCTTCAAACTCCTGGCTCAAGAGTAACATTGGCAGACACAGGCCTGGGAGCAAGTGGTATGCCCCTCTATTGAATACAACGGCAGGAGGGAAAATCAAATACTTTTTTTTGCAATCTTTATAATAATTTAGGAATGCCCTTGTGCCCAAAATAATTGTTTCTGTCAACATGGTGCACAGGAATGAAAGTAAGAGTGTGCCTCTCAGAAAAATAAATCTGAAAGTGGGAAGGATTAACAGAAGGGAATCAGAACCCTGAGAACGCAGCCCTTGTCCATCTAGATAGCCATGATTTACATGGGCACACTGAGCCCATGCAGGTATATTGGGACCATGTTCCCGGCCTGTAATCCATCACAGTCATCAGGCATCTGCCAAGGGTGAATGACATGCTTGGGTGGGGGGGTGGGCGGGGAGTAGGGTGTTGTTTTGTGTAAGATAGACATTTGGGGTGAACATATTTAAAACAAGTCAGGGAACATAAGAGGTATCGGCGACTGAAAGTGATCCTTAGCTCTTGAAGAGTTGCTAACTATCTGAGATCTTCTGATTTCTGTGAATCTCATGTGGGTTAGAAGTGGAAGTGGGTCAGAATTCAGCACTTGTTGGAAGACATGGAGTTGGTGGTTCTGCAAAGCGTTGGTTTGCAACGGGATTTGTTAATAGAGTCTCAGAGTTACTATTGGTGAAACCTGGTGGTTACAGCCAATATGACAGCCCCCACTTTTGTGGACTCCGTGATCGGCTTCCAGCACTCCAGAGCAACATCCTGCAAGCTGGCCGGCATGTACTGCCCGCTGAAGGCACAATTCCCTCCTGCAGCACCATTTTTTATTCCTCTCCTTACTTTCGGGAATAAAATGATCCCCACTCAGCTCTTCTTGACACCTGACCACTGCCCCCTCTTACCCTTCCCCCGCCCCCACGCAGCTGGGGCTGTTCCATAAGGGAGAGTGCCCTCACTAGCTTGTCTGACTCTAGTGATAGAGTATCTTGTCACCATCAATTGCTTTGATCTAGTGGTCTAATTGATAGCTGCCGCACCTCGTCCACTCTTGGAAAACAAGGTTCAGACCCCAGTTTAACATTAGGGTTTGTATTCTTATCCCTTTCAAATGGTCCCTATTAGCACTGCCAGATTGCTCACGGTGAACTGCAGCACTTTAACTAGAAATGCAGTAAATCTTTAGCATACTTCAATAATGTAAGGTTAAAATGTTACAGGGCGGAAGTCATTCAGTGTGGAGCGTATTGTTACAATCACGGCATGTTTAAAATCAAGCCATCTGCATGTTTGAGCTCTGCGGTTGCCTTGTTCTTGGAAGATGGCTTTAGGACTCCTCATTAGTGGGTAGATTAACTTGTTTCCCTTGTATTTAAATGCTCTGCAGTAAATCACTAACTAGATAAGGGGTTTAGCATTCCAACAGAATCTTTTTATTAAATTGCAACTGATATTGCATAGTTCTTTGTTATGCCCACTAAACACACTTTATATTGTTCTTCAGCGCTGTAGCCATAACCTTGCTTATTTTCCCCTTGTCCTTTGCAAGCGGACATCATTAATACTGACGTGGATTCTGGGATGATATTTCACTGGGCAACTTGTTATAAAAGTTGTAAAAGTATTCAGAGAATTTGAGAATAATGAGAATTAACAACTCTCAATATTTTTATACCATAAAGAAGAGCATTTGTGGAAAGTTAGAACAATGTTCCATCTCCAGTGAGTTGCAATAAAGAGAAGCAGTGGCATTTTTTTCTCCCTTACCAGTGAGCTCCTGGGCCATAAGCAATTAGTAATTTTTTTCACAAATAAATCTGGTGGTGTTCCTTTAAAACTGTGGCATTAGCTGCTTCAGATTTCCCAAACCACAAATTTGCAATTGGAGGAAGAGGTGGGAAGAACAGTGGTGCATTGTAGTGTCAGGTTTGTGGTAGGAATGCAATTTCACCATGAACTTATACAGACACTCTTATCTGGCAATGTGCTGTTGAAGGAATGTAGGGCACAGTCGTGCACGATTAGCCAAATGATCTTTTTCTCTGTTGAAAGATTCTATGATCACAACAACAACAACAAGATTACATTTGTAAAGCGCCTTTCACGTCAGGAGGACGTCCCAAGGCGCTGGACAGTGTACAGCATTTCAGACCCGAGCTGGGGTCAGTGGGGAGAAGGGAGGGGAGGGGAAGGGAGGTGGCCGATGGCATGGTCGAAGAGAAGGGTCTTGAGGCGGGACCACCAGCCATCTTGTTACAATCACCACTCAGGCTGCACCAAGCACATGGTCATGTTGTTACTGGCTCTCATCCTCCACTAGGAATGAGAGTGGCAAACAGAATAAGATGGCTTCAACAAAGTGGTTAACTCCACCATTAACTATCCCTGACTTAGGGTTAGGAGCAACAGTATCAAATTCAGGATTGAATTAATTGATAATTAAGTCAACAGTAAAGAAATTGTTGGTAATTAAATAACAAATCCTATGTACCATGGGATTATTTGTATATTTTCCTTTGGGAACTGTCAGGAGGCTCCTCAGGTCCTAGGTTCATTTAGGGGTAACTAACTGACTTGCAGTTCACACAGTTCTGCTGGTTGCCGAATTTACCGTCCTTGGCAATGTGTGTCTGTTATCAGATTGCTAATGTTAGCTCAGCCCAAATTCTTCCAAGTTATTTATTGCGTAACCAAAACGTTAAATGATCTTTTGTCTCAAATGATCTGTCCAAAATCTTTCCAGTGATACTTCTGCTGCTGCTGACGAGAGGTTTTATTTTCTGTTCCGTAGTTCCTGGACCTTGTGACCCTGAGGACCTTATTGATGGGATCATCTTTGCAGCCAATTACCTGGGATCCACCCAGCTACTCTCAGACAAAACTCCTTCCAAGAATGTCCGGATGATGCAGGCTCAGGAGGCAGTGAGCAGGATCAAGGTGATGAATCCCTCTGCTGTTTGCGGCCCATGTTAATCATTCTTTTGACAATCCCGTCATCTGTGGTTTTAGCTACTAACGGGTAAAAGCAAATTTCCAGTTCCCTCTTCAGGAGGCATTCCGAGTTGGTCCAGGCACCGATTTCACTGTCAGGCAATCTTCGATAATCTCCTCATTCCTAACACGTTTTAAGAGGAAAGATGATGGGGTTGCTATTTTGCTCGTGTACAGTCTGAGGTATCAAAAAATGGCAGGCTCTGGAGACAGATTAACTATTCTGCTTGCTTGTTCCAATTCACTCCTGCTACATTTTGTAAATTCCTTTTGTAAAATGGTCAGTGTTCTGAATTTTGAAACGTCTCTTTGGATGTACAGTACTGTGTTTGATAAATTATATGTTTCCTCCTGAAATCTCAGTTGCCAAACAGATTATGTACTGAAAGTGTTTTTTTCCTTCTGTGTTTGCAGTAACCTCCCTGCAGTCAGTTTATTATCATTGGTAAAAGTATAGGATTTCTGTTCCCTGGTAAATTTTGCAGCTCGGTGTGCTGGCTGAGCCATATTGTAGGGCAGGAGAGAAAGAAGACAAAAATAAATGAAATCATTGCCATGTAAATATTGTAAAATAAATTGATAGGTGTTCTGGAATTGAAGACTATAATTTCAAGGAGTCCTGTTGCTCAGTGGTTAGAGCACTCGCCTCCCAAGCTAGAGGACTCGGATTTGATTCCCGGCAGGGCGAAACGTTGGACAAGTTTCCTACTCCACACACCTGTTTTCCTAGCAGTAAGTAGGAACTCGGTTGTTAGTCAATTGGCTGATCGCTTTTCCGGGGGTAATGATTCCTTCAAAATAAATGAAAATAATTTGGTCACTTAATCCACGATTTGTGGGCCACTACAGTGTGCAATTGGCTGCCCCGTTTCACCCAAAAATATACAGTCAATTCACTTTACGGTATATTCTGTGAAGCGCTTTGAGACGTCTCGAAGATGTGATAAGGCACTATATCAAATGCAAGGATTTTTATTGTATTGTTATTATACTGGGATTCAGATAATAACGCTTGATGCTTGTTTTAGCAGTGCATGATAATTGACACCTGCAGTCCGCTTTCTATCTTGCGATATCTTCTTGGTATTTTTCCTCCCCCACTCCAACTGTAACTAATTTATTCCTTTCCAGAAAGTGCTCCCAGTTGCTTATGTTGTCTGTCAGCAACTGATGGCAGATTGATGTTTGCTCCTTAAAGACCAAAATTTTATTGATGTTAATTGTAAAATCCGAATCGAAACCGGTGGACTTACTGTCATCTCAACCCGTTGCAGGAAGAGCATCTATTTCGCTGAGAGTAGCTAGTTCGCTGAGAGAGGTTTTACCTCTCCTAATACTGAACTGGATCTGTGTCAGCCTTAGCTTAGTTACAGCACTGAATCAGAAGATTGTAGATTCGAGCCCCAGGTTGGGACATGGAACTCACAGTCTAGGCTTGACACTCCAGTGTAGTGCTGGGGGAGCGCTGCATTGTTGTGAAGCTGGTTGGAAACTTTAGAATATATGATAATACTTTCTTGATTACAGGATAGCCGATTTAATCTAGATTTCAGTCTTCACTTGGTTTCATTAATTTGAAGTTGTGAAAATGCACTTGAGGATATCATGAGTTTTCGAAAGTGCCTTAGACCATTGAAGGGATCCTACTGTGTGATTGGCCAATGCCCAACTTCATCAGATGAGATGTTAGTTAATTTGAGGTCCTGTCTGCCTGTTCAACTGGATGTTAAAGATCCGACAGCGGTAATAGAGGAGAGAAGGGAGCTTCTTCTGGTGCCATGGCGAATTAATCCCCCCAAATAAAACTGGTTATTCACTCCATGTTTGTTTGTTTGTTTGTGGGACATTGCTGTCTGCAATTGGGCTGTTATGAGAGCCTAAAAATAGTCACTCTAATTCACAGTAAAGCACTTATGGGATGTTCTCCCAACAGGAAAGACACTATACCAAATGCAAGGATTTCTATTTTATTATTACTACAGTATTTGTTACTCCCGGTGTCCTGGGCAACAATTCCCCAAATAAAATTCGACATTCACTTCATGACTATTTGTGGGACATTGTTGTGTGGAATTGACTGCCTACAAAATAGGTCACTTCATTTTATAGCAAATCTTGTGAAGCGCTTTGAAATGTACTCCTAATGTAAAGGACATGATATCAAATATCAGAACTATTAGGATTTTTATTTTTAGATGTGTTGTTCAGTTCTCTTACAATTTTCCCGACAGGTTTGATGTTTTTCCCTCATCCTTTTACTAAAACAGTACTTTTCTAATCAGGAATGTGATTCCTTGTAGAATGTGTATTTAGTAAAAGGATGTGGCCCTGAAACAGGGAAGCATGATTAGCTGCCAATACGTAGCAAAGTACCATTTATTATAATAATGAAATTGAAGCACGTTGAGACTTTCTCCCGACATAAAATGCGCTGTATCAAATGCAAGGATTATGAAACGCAGCTGCAAAAATTGTTATAATCCTGTTGTAGCACAGTTGTTTGGGTCTAATGTCTCATGCCTGTGTTATAACAAATTGCAAAAATAGGCTGAGTTGTGGGTCAAGTCACCACCAACATCACATCCTACACAATGCACATGAATGCTCTGCATCGAAAGCCCTGCCGATGTCACTTCCTCACCAAATGACACAGGAATTTCCTGCACATAATGTATACACAGTGCACAGGAAGTCATATGGATGACAGCCTGATGACCTGGAAGATGGCCATTTTGAAGCGAGTTGGAAGCTAGTTAGGATGTGCGCTGAAGACAACAAGGCACCCGCCTTCTCAGAGGCACTTTACTAATGGGGTTGCTTTGTACTCATTCTTTCATTAGTTATATCACTTTAACTGGTCCAAACATTTCAAAGCACTTCATGGGTAATTGCTGTCGAGTGTGTTGACTATGAATTTGACACCTGCTGAAGTCTAGGAAAGCACAGGGCAAAGAAATGAAATCACACAATTTGTAGCAAACCATTGACCATTGTGATGAATGTGCGAGGCCCAAGTAAAGGTGGATTGTGCGGTTCGAGAATTGGTGACTGGGATTTGACAGTTGACATGAGGACGTCCACTTTATAACCACTGGCAGGGAATAGTGCAGGTGAGAGGACCATTAATGGGGCTGGTCTCAGGTCATTGTTGATAATAATAATAACAGTAATAATCCTTGCATTTGATATAGTGCCTTATCATGAGACCTCTCAAAGCGCTTCACAGAGTATACTGTAAAGTGAATTGACTGGGCATTGTAATGACACATTCTGAGAGTATTGTATCTTGCACATGAAAGGAAGTAGATGGGTCTGAGGTTTACTGTGGACTGTGAGTGAGCTGGGACCCTGTACCAAATTAACTCTGTTGATGGGCCAGATAAGATTTGCATATGAATCGTTGGAGTGTATGTACCTTTACCCTATCAGTGGAGAGGACATTGAAATGGAATTTTAAAAAAAATGAAAATAGTGTAAAAGAATACAGGGAAAGTAGAGAATTAGAATTAGAGTATATAAGTAAAAGTAAGACCCAATAAAGATTCAAGGGGTGACTAGCTGCCTTTGGTACTGTAATTCCTATGGCGCTAATAATTCCGAGATACTACAGTGAAGCTGGTTGGAAACTTTAGAATATATGATAATACTTTCTTGATTACAGGATAGCCGATTTAATCTAGATTTCAGTCTTCACTTGGTTTCATTAATTTGAAGTTGTGAAAATGCACTTGAGGATATCATGAGTTTTCGAAAGTGCCTTAGACCATTGAAGGGATCCTACTGTGTGATTGGCCAATGCCCAACTTCATCAAAACCAAAATTTGAAGATCTCATTGATGAGATTGACTGTTTAACCTAGTACAGCCAGTCAACCTCATTTTGGTTTGCTTACTGTCCGAATCAATCCTCAGTTGAAGTTCGTGGTATGGTGTGTGTACAGACCAAGAAAGAGAGTCATATCTGTGTAACCATGGGCAGAAAATTCATAAAATGGTTCTTTGGGTTTACAACTGTTGACACTGTCCCCTCCGCATCCCATTAAAAAAAGAGTGGACTTGATTGTTCTGCCATTTGCAAGCCTATGACCAATCATTGCTATCATTGAGCATTAACCACAGTTTACATGCATAATCATCTTGGCTCTGATCCATTCTGTGTCAAATTGATAACATTTCCCCCAGGATAGGTTGCTACTCAGGTATAACAAACTACTTCTTAATTCGCAACTTCTTTGAAAGTTTATGCAAGTACAATCATATTTTCCCAAAGAACAGTGTGATTTGTATTATTATGGAGCTGGTGCAGAAGACCTAGAAGGGCCCTCATCTAAGTCAGCTCTGGAGGACACTGCTCTTGCAGATAGATGGACGAGATTTTGTTCCCTCTAAATCATTCCTTTTTGGGGGAAGGGAAAGGTTGAAATTTCTTTGCAGCATACAAAATAATTCCCATCAACAATCTTTAAAGGAATAATTGTCACAAAAATGTTTGATTTTAAACTCCCACTATTTTAACTGAAACGCATTTTATAGAAATAATCTCCAGTGCATTGGGGGAGAAATTGGGTGTTTGTTGAGGGTTTTTAATAGTTAAAAAGTCACCTTTTATTCATGATGTTCATAGTGATATTGAATTTGATTCAAATAGGGATTGCTTGCTTTTAATTCAGGAAATTTTAGAATCTATTGCAATATATGCTCATAATAGCTGTAAACCTGTTGAGATTGGCTGATCTCCAGAGAGAGATTTTTGAAAACCTTTGAAGGACTGTCTTTTATTATTTTGATTTGAAGAGATTGAATGCTCTTATCAGAAATGCTCATGAAAAAGAGATGGATTTGCAATGACTCCTGCTATTAAATTGAGATAATTAGTACATACATGTTTATATTCTCATCCATTATCTCCCCCACTTCCCCTCTTCATAAAAGGCATTTGACTCCTTTTACCTCCTATGTGGTTTGCTGGGTGACATCCAGTACCTCGCTCAAGTAGCCATTATTCATGTACGAATCTTGATAGCTATTGATAGCGGGGGTCACAGCACAGTGATCTTGTCCTTATAAAACATTCAAACACTAGTACCCTCAGAAGGGGTCTTTTGATTGGGAACCCTTGTTACATTTTCCTTCCATAACCTAGGGGTACTGAGGTGAATTACAGCACCCACTACGGCCAGCCAGGTGAAGATCAGCTGACTCTAACTCACAGACCTGATCAAATCTGAGACCTTCCCAGGTAAGGCTTAGTTGCTCACTGAGCCCTTAGTGCCACAGAAAGAATTTGCCATTAATATTTTTGAGCATCACAGTACAGTACTGGCAGGTTACGCTCTCAGTAGTGGCGAAAGAATTAACAGAGGAAGGACTGTTCGCTTCCAAACCTTTAATCGTTATAGACAGGTTTAGATTGCAATTCTGATGCAGTCAGTGAACTATTCCTTAATTAAAGAATGGCATTAATTAAGAAATTGAATGCTTTTAGGAATAGCATTTTTTTCTCCCATTGTGACAAAAATGGGTTAAGATTTCCCAATGTCTTCGAGAATGCAGAATGCATGAAATAATTATTTTCTAAATTTATTGAAAATATTTAACAGGATGTCCTTCATTTGGGGTGGGGGTGAGGCATGGTGGGTTCTGCTTGAGTTGTTTGAGATATTAGTGCCTATTCTAATTATAGTACTACAATGTCAAAAATATTCAGCATTCTGTAGTGTTAAAATTAAATAGGTGTTACTCAGAGCATTAACAAAGTGCTCCCTAAACGCTGGGCACCACATGGAAATATTCAGATGAGAGCAATCCTTTTTTAAAAAAAATGAAACATAGTACTGAACCCAAATTTAGTTTAAGTGTAGCTGAAACCTAGAGATTTGATTTATTTATTTTGGGAGGAGAGGTGGGTCAGATCATGTCAATCTCAGAAACTGCAAATGGGAACAGTGGTCTGAATCTACATTTCCACTTTCCCATCATAATAAACCTTTGAGAATAAAATACATAGTAAGAAAATAATAGCTTGAATAATAAATTTCAAAAGGCAATTGGATATATACTTGAAAAGAAACAATGTGCAAGGCTATGGGGAATGAGCGGGCGATTGGGACTAAATTGGATAGCTCTTTCAAAGAGCTGGTAGAAAATACCCCAGGAAAAAAGTTCAAGATTACAATTGTACGTGAAGAGAACTTCATAAAAGTAATTTTCACCTCTCCACATTCCAACCCCCTCCACTCTCAATGCTTAAACGATTGTGCAGAGCTATAAAGTTCTTGAATATTTGTAACTTGCATATGTGAGGACAAACTGGGAGGGAAAGGAGCTGAAGTTATACGGATGTTTTTTTGCTACATATCCTGCACCCTCTGAAGAGCTTTTGAGTAGGACAAGCTGCTGCAGTTTGTGATTCCTCCTCTGCTATGCGTCTGTCAGTTCTTCTCTAACCATTCTCCTATCTCTGTTTGTTCCATGCCGAGCAGATGGCCCAGAAATTGGCCAAAAACAGGAAGAAGGTGCAGTACCTCATCAGCTTGATGTCGTTGCATTTTGTTTTTGATTTCTTTCGAAACGTTCTAACTTTTTTTTGGTTGTCTTGGTTTACTTTTCTGCATCCAGTAAATCGCACAGAGTTCAGACAGGAGGCAGTCCCTATGGCCACATTGATTACCCTCCTGCTTTGATGAAGGAGCCTCTCATCCCAGGATTATCACCCAGCATTAGCCATCTCACGATTCATTTTGGAGTCCCATCCGCCGTTGCTCACGGCCTCTCAGTTTTCATTTTTTTTATTTGAGCAATTCAGAACTGAACCAACAACAACAAATTCCACTTATAGAGCGCCTTTCATGTCGGGAGGATGTCCCAAGGCGCTAGACCATGAAGGGTTTGCACCTGAACTGGGGGTTGGAGTTAAAAGGGGTGGAGGGCAAGGGAGACCTTAGAGAGCTTTAAAACCAGAACAATGATGATTCTTGCTTCCAGATCATATGGAAGGGAGCTGAGAACTAACAATCACCTCTTTTCTTGGAGTCGTCAGATTTCAATTAATTTGGATGAGACAAACCAGCGAGCCAGGAAATGCTGCTGACTGCTGATTAGAATCGTGTCTCCGTTACCCAGCGCAACATTTGGACTAGTTATATTGCTGCCAAAACACTCGGTTGTTCTGCTCTTTATTGATATCTACACGGAAATCCTTTTGCTTTCCTTCTTTTCTCTCAACTTACAAAAACCACTTCTGCTCCTTTCCACTATCTGCAGATTGCTGGATGCAGAAAGTATACTTTATTGGTGTTTTAAGATGTAAAAGTTTATGTTTCACAGCGTTAAGTTGAAGTGCACTGTGGCTGTGTGGAATTATTGGTTTATATGCATTTCTAATCCTTCTAAGCAAAATAAGCTTTGGTTTTGTTTTATTTTTGCCAGCCGGGATCGGAAGAGGACGGTTTTTGCTCCTGGCGCTTTTTCTATCCTATTAACCTGATGGCAACTTTGCCTGATTCTAACATTGTGATCCTGTTTTCTATTTTTTCCTGATGAATGTCTCCCAACTTGTGGCCGTCATGCCAACCCAAATCAGAGGCTCAAAAAAGACTATGCACTTTCCATTAGATCTGTTTGGTAAACAGTGCAAATGTAGCACTCTGAAGGGTGGGGGGAGGAAACACCCTCCTTAGTTTTAAAGGTTTTGTGCTTTGAAGTATTTCATTTTCTTCAAAAATCTGTAGCCCTCCCCTGCCCCCCTCCTTTCTTCAGGTACCAAAAGCCATGAATTATTTCTAACTGAAGGGTGTGGCCTGGCAGTGGAATATTGGATTTGAGCCGGTCCTCTGTGACGGCCTTGGTAGTTTCTGAGCCAGGCGAGTCTGCAGTACTCCAAGATGCTGTTGCTGGCATGTAACAGAATACATTGTGTCCTGTGACAATTTCCACATGAAAAAAACACCTTACTATGGATTAGTGGATCAGTGTGGCGATCAGATTAAACTCCTTGTACGTGTAAGAGCTTGGTGGATTGATGCCTTTCTCCCAATTAAGAAAGGGAGGCCAATGCTCTGTTTTTGGTTGGTATTTCGAAAGCTTTATAATCCGTGAAAAGTGAAGGATGATGTTCAGTGATCTTGTCGATGGTGTGCTGGTGATATTTAGTATTGAATGTATTACTGCTAGCAGATGTGGTTTTGTTTAAAAGGTGATATCACAGCCCTGTTACTGCTTCCTGTTCTAGGCACCTGAAGGAGAGGCGCAGCCCATGACTGAGGTGGACCTCTTCATTTCTACTCAGAGAATTAAAGTGCTCAACGCTGACTCCCAGGTAAATGTGAAAGCTGAAAGTCTATAACCAGTTCCTATGCTCCACCACCTGAAAAATTACAAGTACAAAATATTTCTGTCACATTTGGGTGATTGTAACGTCCGCTGTAATTATCTGTGAGGGTCTGGTTTTGTTAGTTATTTTGTTACTTATCGCTTTTTGGAGTCTCAGAACTGTGAAGATCAGGCTAGTGACTGGCTTGTAGGCTTCTGCCAAATTTCCTCTGTAGGCGACCAGAGCAGGAGAAGAATGTTAGTGCTCCAATTTGACTGGCTGATTAGCTCTCCCTGTCTGTCTCCCTCTCTCCCTTCCTCCAACTACACAATAAAAATACAATGCCTTTCTTTCCCTCCCTTCACTATCCTTTCCCATTTTGTCTCTTCTTTCCACTCTTTCTGTCCAGCTTAATATTATGTTTTCTTGCTTTCCATTTTCTCTCTTCCTTCCATGTTTTCTATCCAATCTAACATTATGTGTTCTAACCATCCACCCTCGCTCCCTCCCCTTTTATATTTTTATGTTAAAAAAGTTTTTCTTCTAACTGCACCACCTACTTTGGGGGTGGCAACTTCCAAACTATTTTGTTTGTATTGGTTGCCAAGGGTGGTATTTAAAAGCCCATTGGAAGCTCAGGTCAACCTTTTGGTGCTTTGAAAAGGGTGTCAGGAGGAGAGACTGCTGATTGATCAGGAAACTCATCAGTGTTCCACTCCCTACCCCAGAGCCTGGATGGACAAACTTATCTAGGGCTCAACAAAGATTAATGGTAGGCTAGAGCTCAGTGGATAGGAGTACTGTGGACATAACTCCCAAGTTGCTTGACACAATGCCTGGTTTATAGTGTGCTGCAATGCCAGCCTTGTATTGTGTTGGGCTTGAAATCTCCTGGTTTAAATTGTGCTGTTTCATTTCAAATGTTCTAAACCTTGAGAGGAGAATTGGAAACAGATATTCAGCACATTGTAAGTGATGCTTTAAAGGGCTCTCACAGAGGAACCTAATCAATAGAGAAAGTGAACATGGAGCAATCATTTCTGACCTGCCAGGGTAAGGTCCAGGGTCGTGAGGGCAACTTTGGAACAACAACAACAACTTGGATTTATATAGCGCCCTCTACGCTGGACGGCGTCTCAGAGCGCTTCACAGTAACGGATCCCGGGGCTGAGCCAGCGGGAGGGGGAAGAAGGTGACCAAAGATGTGGTCGAAAAGAAAGGTCTTCAGCCGAGACCTGAAGAGAGGGGACGAGGCGAAGGGAGTGAGGAAGGGAGTTCCAGAGCCAACAGATACCAGGACATACTTGTTTACGCAGTGGATCCTTGCAGCCAAGTAGGGTGGTGAAGGCCAGGAGAATAATTTAAGAAACAGTTTGATGCTGTAATGGGAGGATGGTGGAGTTGGTCTAAGAGGATGAGATCAAACTCCCCAATGGATGGTATTCACCACAAGCTACCTTATGAAACCTTATGAAAGTGAAGTTTCTTTACTCCACATGTCTCTATTTTCCTGGCATTAAGTGGATCCCAATTGATAGTTGATTGGTGGATTGCTTTCTGGGAGTGATAATCCCTCCAAAATAATAATAATGTGGTCACTCAATCCACGACTGTTTGTGGGCACTGCTGTGTGTCAATTCACTGCTGTGTTTCCCCCTCAAAATACACAGTCATTAATTACTCTTTAGAGTATATTCTGCAAAGTGCTTTGACACATCTCGAAGACATGATAAGGCACTATTTCAAATATAAGGATTATTATTATTGTGATATCTGCTGGCTAACTATGGTTTGCCACTGGCATTCAGAGAATCCCTTTGGGTTGGCTCCCTTTGGAGCATTTTTAATGCAAAAAAACAAATTGGACAAAGGAGAGAGGATAAAAAAGAGGACGTTTATATCAACAGCTCGAGCTTTTCGAATCTTAACTTTGGAGCAAGCTGAAAGTACTGATGAATATGATATTTGTGAGCTTCTCCAGTAAGTACTGTAGCATGTAAACATAATGAATTCATAAAAAGATTTAGGCAGCAGCTGAGGTGGATGATTAGTGCAGCAGTCCAATGTATATTTTTGTTCCTACGTAGCTAAGACAGCCCCTGGGAGGTATTATTTTCCGACAGTGGACATTTTCCAACACTTCTGATTTTTAAAGGTGCAAAATCTTCAGGGACTGTGATCAAATTGGGCCGTCATCTATCCCGCCAGTATCAGGAGCCAGCTTTGTCAGTAAGGGGTAAATCTGAAGATGTCACACAGTGAAGCGTTCAGTGGAAGCTCAATGTCTGTTTAATGTCTACTGCTGTTCAGTGTAATGTCGCAGCTTTGATATAGTTGCAGATGCAGATGCTTGTCCTTTTTGTTTACACTCAACACTGCAAAACCTATAAAAAGAAACCCTCAGAGACTCAGATTGAAACTGTACTTCAAAATAGGTTAAATGGCAAGCAGATTTCATATTTGTTTCTTGTCCTTTGTTTTTGTGGGGGGTTTTTGCCACCAAAGTTTGAGTGGCGCAGTTAACATTGCACAATCGAGAACATGTGATTTGTTTCCATCAATGAAATAGGTTGTTTTGCGGTGCCATTATTTGGACAGAACATTGTCAAATTTCCCGCCACTTAAAATTTAGTGTTCCACTTGTAAAAAAAAAAAGTGTGGAACAGTGATTCGTTAAAGAGCTAGTAAAGTGGCCTTCCCAGGATGGCCATTAGTGAGCAGGTCTTACGTGGTATGAAGGTGTGTAGGGACGAGCTGTTGGTAGCAAGCATAACCATTTTTTATTGAGTCTTTGTCTTCTTTTTGTCTCCCTCATTTTCTTTCCTGTCCATATCCCTATATCCCCCTCCAACCATATCCCTATATTGTATCCCTGTGTGCGTGAGACTCAGGTTTTGTTTGCATCAGTGTCTGTCTCTCTTGTCAGTATTTGTCTGGGAGTCTTTCCCTCTGTGTCTTTTCAGCAATGCCTGTCACACTCGCTTGTTCTTTCCCCATCTGAAGAACAGCAACTTGGATTTATATAGTTTTTTTGACAGAGTATAATGTGTCCAAGTGCTTTATACAAATAATGTCGGACATGGAGTAGGGAGAGTGGAAGATTGCTCACTCATCGCCTCTCACACTCGCTGATTCACTTTCATTCTTCTCTCATACACTCACTGTTTCATCTTTTATCTCTCATTCATACACATTCACATTCTCGCTCCCTGCCTTGCCCCCTCTCCTTTCTTTCAAACCTTCCCTCTCTTCTCCCTCACTCCAGAAATGTTATTTTTATATGTTTATTGTTGAATGTAATGTTTATTGGGTTGAAATGTTTTTCTGTTTGAATTCAGATTGGGAATGTGAAAACAAATGTCTTCAGAGTGTGAGTTTGTGAATGTATTTTTTAGACTGATGTAGACAAATACTGAATTTTTAAAAAAAAGCATTACAGTGCTTTAAAAGCTGTGAGTTGGACACTGTAAAACTCTCCTCTTTGTGGAAATGACAGTTTCAATTCAATTTCTAAATTCTGTCAATGAGTGGAAATCTGGAATGGCTCCTTTTTGCAACTTAGCCAAAGCATGGGATTGTCCGGGAGGGATTTTTGATTGACAGGAGTTCTTTGGGGGGTTCTGTTGAATTGCCAGAATAGACATTTTTCTAATGGACCTAGGTCCATACAAAACAGGCTACAGTTGCATAATTTATAAGTTTTGACCCAACTTTTTGTCCACAGAAGAGAGAATAATCCAACAGGTTGTGTGGCCTTTAACAAAATTAATAATGAGAAATAACAACTAACAGTTGTAGGTGAACCGTTACCCAGTACTGAAGCGCAGAGACATCCCCAATCACACTGTCAGCTTCAGGCTTTTATTAATCTATCCATCATTAACTAGAAAGACATTCTAGTTAAAATGGTGATTAGGAGGGCATACAGCTGAGAGGCTGCATATGTTAATATACAATAATAATCCTAGTATTTGATATAGTGCCTTATCACATCTTTGAGACGTCTCAAAGTGCTTCACAGGATATACTGTGAAGCGAATTGACTGTATATTTTGTGGGTGAAACACGGTAGCCAATTGTCCATAGGAGTGTCCCACAAACATTCATTGATTGAGTGACCAATTTATTTTTAAAAAGAAATTAATACCTCTGGAAAAGCGATCCACCAATCGACTGACAACCAGGTTCATACTTACTTACAGAGGCTTGTGGAGTAAGGAAACTTGTCCAACGTTTCGGCCTTCCCAGGAATCCAACCCAGGTCCTTTTGCTTGTGAGGCGAGTGCTCTAATCACTACGTTACATGATTCCACAATGTTAAAGCAAATCGCTCTGTGCTACCATCCCAGGCCCTAGCTGCCATTGTTCTGCAGTAAATCTGTAGTAACATTAATTTACTCCTCTTTGTTTGCTCTTCAAAAACTTGCATTTATACAGCACCCTTCACATAGGCTAATGTTTTCAGTAAAATCAGAGTCATAAATCGTTGCAGCGCAAAAACAGGCCACTTGACACAATGGTGTTTTTTCTCCATGTGAGACGCCCACCTTCTTACTCCACTCCTCGTAATTCATAATACTTCTCTTTTTCAAGGATCCATGAAATTCTCATTTAAAATAATATGTGCACTTTGTTTCAACCATGGTTTGTGGCAGAGAATCCAACATTCCTACCACTCTCTAATCTCTCCTTTAATTTTTTCTGATTATCTTCACTTGTGGCCTCTCATTATTGACTCAATGACCAGTGAAAGTAATCTTATTACTATAGAAATCATAGAATCGCTATTTACCCTGTCATACCCTGACATATTCTTGAAGTGGCTCCTAACCGAGATTCCTGGGTATGAATAAAATGTTCCGTTAATAAACTTAGCCTCAGACTCGAGACAGTTTCAGTAAATTAAAACCATAAATGAAGTCTCTGCTATTAAGTATGCAGAAACATGAGTTGATTTTGAGCTGACAGGATGACAGTGCAGTCAATGCCAGCACCAAATCTGTGTGAGGGAGAGGTCAGATCCCACCCTCCCCTAAGCTGTTCTGGAAAACTAAAACGAACGCTTCACTCACTTTCTTGTGCTAAAAGCTGAGCCCTCAGCCCTTAGATTGTGCTGTGTGATAGTTATTTGACAGGAAGCAACCCAACAAATCAAGCTGCTTAGCGCTGAGCTGCAGGCAGAGATGTCTAACAACAGTTGTGACAACTAATCGCCTCATCCTTTAGACAGAATGGCTTCAGATCAGTGCGAGCTATGATTTATGCACTGTGGCATTTTGTTATTGGCTGGTGGTGCGGCTTAATTTCAGTTTCCTGCTTTTGTTAGTTTCTGGCTCCTGCTTCTGATGATATAGGAAGTGGTTGGGACTAAAGGAAGATCTTAAGTGAGGGTTCGAACGAAGAAGCCCCTTCGGCTCAAAGATGTAGGTGTGTGTGTGTTTGTTTTTGGGAAGGACTTGAAGGTTGTATATGGGACCAACAAGCATAGTTAAAGAACGGTAAAGTAAACTCACTGCCATGTCATTACCAACCCCCCACCTCCACCGACCACCACCACCATCATCACATAGTGTGAAATGTCTGAAATGGTTACTCATCAATGCAGCATGATCTCAGCCACTATGTTGTTTAAAAAAAAACTATCAGACATTGCTGATGCTTTGGTAAGTTCATAATTGTGTGTGTGCTTATATATATATGTAGTTTGTATGTATGCATAAGTGATGTTTTTTGCTGTGTGAAAGGGATTGCATTTCAATTTGGTAAGGTGGCTAATCTTAAAAACATTATTGGACAATTTACATCAATTTATTTTGGGCTGTGTAAGTCGAGTTGTAGTTAGTATTCCTGTAAGAAATATCGAGGTAGTAAAAGATGAGAGTGATGATCAGTTCTGACTCCTTAAGGTTTTACTGCTGAGTTTATACTTTTCTTTATTTTATCCAGGAGACAATGATGGACCATCCTTTAAGAACCATTTCCTATATAGCAGATATTGGGAATATCGTTGTACTGATGGCTCGTCGTCGCATGCCTCGCTCCAATTCCCAAGAAAGTGTAGAAGCATCCCACCCTTCCCATGATGGGAAGAGGCAATACAAGATGATCTGCCATGTTTTTGAGTCTGAAGATGTACGTAGCAGTCTTATTTATTTTGTGTTTTTATTCCTGTTGTGAAGGAGCAAGGTGAATGAACTGTTGATCTCAAAACTAGTTTGTAAAACTACTCTTGATCTAAATGTTAACCTGTTATCGCATCAGAAGGAAAGGAGAAATCTATTTTAGTCCTGGAGAGGATTTTGGAAATCATTGTGAAATGTAATTTCTTAGCCGAAGGTCCAGTGCGTGAGAGTGATTCTCTGTACGCAGTATAGTGAGACCCACAACCTTGTATGTGTTACATCATCTCAGGAGATAACAAGAGAGGTTCAGATGGCATAGCCCCCTTTTTTAAAAAAAGTACCTATCTGTTATTAACATTTACTTTAGGAATAACATAGTGTTATAATTACTGTAAGATAAATATCACAACTGGGGCCTGGCTCCAGAAGAGGGTGTTTGCTGAGACTTGTCACTAAACCACGGGTTAATCTTTATTTGACCTTAATATGTCATCATCACCCCATCCAGAATACCAAACTTACCATCTTACCCATTACTTCATCTAAAGGGTTCTTCGAGTCCAGCATCCTGGACTCCACCACCATTGTTAGAAACCATTTCTGGCTGTTAATCACTCTGTGTAACAAGGTTGCTGCCTGCCCTGATTACTGTGTATGGTGAGAGGATTACAAGCTAGCCTCCTAAGCAGAGACTATCACATTGGCACAAGGAGTCAGGGAAGAAGTGGGGGAAGTTAACTTTAAAGAATGATAATTTAATATTCAGAAGAGTTAACTACAGTCAGATGAATTGTCGGAAGAATGCTGGCAGTGATGGATTTTTTTTAACCTCAAATGTAAGGATTGTCTGGTCCAGTGAGTGAAACACATTCTCTGGTCAGTGTAACATTAAACCATGCAAACCAGAGGGTGACAGATTGAGCAACAGAAACCAGAGTGTGGTCAAAGGATCCCATTCAATCCCGTCTCCAGTGGGGTTTCACAGGGTTCCGTGTTGGGTGTCCTGTTTAACATTCATCAATGACATTGTTGTAGGCATAAACAGTACTATAGCCATGTCTGCCAATGACACTGAAATCAGTGACAAAGTAGGATCAAGAGTCAAGGGGTCCCATGATGAGCTGTTGTTCAGGTGTTTGGTTGGACAGAAAGCAAGGAGATGCCATTTGATGCAGGTAAATGTAATATAAAGATCCTCGTGGGGAGGCTTCTGCTTCAGGGGGTTTACCAGGAGAGAGAGTTGGGAGTGATCACTGATCACATTCCAAAACCCCAAACACTGTCAAGTGGCCTTTGTCCGGATGATTCATAGCGCAGACAATAGATCAAAAAAAAGGAGACTACTCTGACACTATACTGTGCTCTAGTGTGTCCCCACCTCTGAGAGCCATACCAGACACTCGAGAAGGTGCAGAGAAGGATCACCAAGATAATCCTCTAGATTATAGTAGAAGGTTTGAGGAATCGAGCCTATGAGAAGAGGAGACTTGGGGGGAGAAAATTTGTTGAGATCCTGCAAGGAATCATCGTAATGACAGATGACAAGATCTACTCCACATAGAGGTTGATGGGGATCTGGAACAGTCTCCCAAATAACACAGTATATGCAAAAAGCATTCACTGAATGTTTTTGTCTCATGTTTTTTACCTCCCCCAGGAGAGGACAGAGTAGTCAGGACCAGGAGTCCAATATAATTAAAATATTGAATGGGAGATAGAATGGGGGGAGTTCTTCCGGGAGTGGGCGCGGTGAGTTTTTGCCCACCCTTTAGTTTTTGCGCATCCATGTATGCTTGGCCTGCTCTGAGATAGGTTGTACAATATCAGCCAGGAAAGCAGTAGGAGTGTACAGTTTGCCCCAGGTCAGAGGCCCCTGGGTTTGGGATGGGAAAGTCAGCCATCGTCCCTCCCTCCTGCCCGAGGGTTGACTCAGCACGATCACACACTAGGTGTGTGCGTTTGGAAGGCAGGTGAAGGTGTGATAATTCCAATGGCTGAATAGTTTCATACACAGAGAAATGGCCACTTAGATGAGGTATTGAACAAACTACTCCCTAGAACTGTACAAGAGTTGGTGCGTGGAGGAGGGTAGACAATTTGAGAAGAAAATTTGAGTAAAACTCGATCATTAATTCTGCTCTTCAGAATACATCAGTATTGCCAGAGGGATGGGAGAGAAGGTAGAAAATGAGATTGGGAAGACAATTGTGTTCCTCGACTGAAGTAGCATTTCAGAGACTAGGGAGAGAGGATGGTTCACGGCTGGCTTCCCATCCAGATGTTCGTTGATTTGTGTATCGGGGTTCCCGGTCACTCAGACTTATCTGTTCTCTCTCAGCTCGGCTGCCACTGTACAGGTGAGGAGCCTTGGGACATGGAAACGTCCCATCTCCAAAAAGAAGGAAAGGTAACATTCATGTCCTGTCTGACTGCTGCAAGTTCACTTCCCGTCAGATGGTCATTCAGTAGCGATAGGGAGAAATGTGGAGCAGAGACTTTGCGGGACCTCTGTTTCTGCCGCCTTAGTTCACCTTGAGGCTTCCAGGCAAAAATTCTTTTTTAAAAAATTCACGAGAGGCGAGTAGGAGAACTGTTTAATGGTGTGGAGGACTGGAGTGTGCAGGATGATGGGGATTGGTAAAAGTTGCATGTCAGAATTGATTAACTGCTTAGACATTCAAAAGGAAATCCGTTATCAAAAGGTCCCTCAAAGCTGTTGTGTTGTACAAATAATTTGGTTTAGAACCATGTTTGTTTATGAATGTTTTACTGTAGCCAACTAAGCAAACAAAAGTGTTGATTCTGTTGGACAGGTGCTAGCTAGCATTCAGTGACATCAAGTTCATGTGTATGTGAATGTAGCAATTGTTCAGTCACTTGGGTGTCATCTGCAACATTTAATTATACAGCAAAGAGCGAGTTCAGAACGGGAGGAGGAGGAGATGTTGGACATGCTAACCACATCACATTTAATACTAATAATACTAATACCCCTTACATTTGGTATATAAAGTGGTGACGTCTTGAAGCGTTTCAAAGCTAATTGCTTTGCTGTTGTTAGTCATTTGTAAAATATAAAATTTTTTGTTGGGGTGGGGATAATTAAATCTGTTGAGACATGCAGAGGCATTTCTGTATTATAATGAGTATTTATGCAATGTTTTAAGACAGGTTAAAAAAAAGTATTTTTTGAAAAAATGTAATCATCAAAATATGCAATAGACCCGAACTCCCAGGTCTCTGTTCAAAGAATGTGGTGCGGGGAACGATTGATTGCGTTCTGAGCAACGTTTACCCGCAGAATAAATATTTGTTTCCAATTCTGCTTTCTTTGAAATCACCCCTTTTCATCTTTCACTGCTTGCTGAGGATAATTGCCAGTCCCAGTGGGCTTTCCTTGTTCAATTTGCCAACCTTAGAGTTGGTGTTGCTTGAACACATAGCGCGTTTGTTTGAGGCTGCACACAGTTAATGGTTTCCATAGCACCAGGGCTACTTTTTAGAAATAGCTGCTCCTTTTGGTTCCATTTCCTTGCATTTGTTTGTGTGCATATATGTCTGTGCGTGTGTTTTTCAAAAAAAAAAAATTTTGATTTAAAAAATACAACCCACAAATCACACGCCAAATTATAAATAAAGCATATAACTCGGGAATTTAAAGTCTTTGCAACAAAATGGTTTCAAGGCAGGCACTGAACGCTATACTCTGAGTCTGTTGTTGATTGTCAGATTCCAGTAAGAGGTTCCCTGAAACACAGCACTATTTTGAAGACGTGCAGAAGAGAAGCCATGGTACTTGTAAAAACAAATTAAAAGAGGATTTTACTGCTGTTTTTTTCTTCTTCTCAATGTAACAGAAACCAATTGTATGAAATAATTAGGTCTTTGGCCATTTTAATTCTGCTTTGGTAAAATTATTTCAAATTGTTTTGTCCATGGCTGATTTTTCTTCCTCTCCTCCCTTCCCCTCCTGCAGGCACAATTAATAGCTCAGTCTATCGGACAAGCATTCAGCGTCGCTTACCAGGAGTTTTTGAGGGCGAACGGCATTAATCCTGAAGACTTGAGCCAGAAGGAATACAGTGATCTCCTTAACACCCAGGACATGTACAACGATGACCTGATCCACTTTTCCAAATCGGAAAACTGCAAAGAAGTACGTGTGGCCGGAGGGTTTCTGTCTCCATGAATGAAACAAACACTTTGATCTTTTTATTGTGGAAATGTGAGGTGTGATTGGACGAAATTGTTAGTTTGCAAATCTCGCTGATGTTAGCAGTTTCTACTGCCATTTGAAAAAGGAGCTTTTTACACCTGTTCATTGGGGTGGTGAAGAGCTAGCATCCCTGACCGCTCTGCCCAAATGCCCCCTTCTGTTTACCAGAGAAAGGAGTGACATTATCATCTAATGTGCAGACTTGGAAGCCAGGTAGCACCTATGTTCTTCCTTCCTGCCTTAGCCTGTGTAGGAAACTGGCAACCAACCACCCACCTGAGGAGTCTGCCTGTCCCCTTCGATCAGCTAACACAAGCTCTCTGTGCCACCATTGGTGGGTGTGCCTTAAGTCACTATGCCCCTAATCTCTGGAATTCCCGGTTCAATCCCTGTGCCTTGCCCCAGGAGTGGACAGGTGAGGGACGGATGGACAGGTGTTGGAGAGGTGAGGGGGAGACAGGAGAGGCAGGTGAGATGCAGGAGAGGCAGATAGATGCAGTATGGGGGCAGGAGAGGAGAGACTCGGGTAGAGAAGTTCAGCGGGATCAGGAGAGCAGTGGAGGAGAGAAAGCGATACCTTTGGGATCATGGTGATTTTGTGCCCACCATTCCCATAGATACTGAGCAGTTGGATTGGGCGCACAATAGAAGAGGTTTTATATTGTGTGGAAGGAGCAGACTTGATGGTCAGAATGGCTTTTTTGTCAATGCTTTTAAACTTGTTTATGACAAAGTGGGTAATCTGTCACAACAAAGGGAATAATACATTACAAAATAATACTGATGCAATTTGCTTTATGGATATTTCCTTGTGCTCTGATCTGCGTTGTGCTCATCTCGGTAGGTTTACGTTGAGAAGCAGAAGGGTGAGATCCTGGGTGTGGTGATCGTGGAGTCTGGATGGGGCTCCATCCTCCCAACTGTGATCATAGCAAACATGATGCACGCAGGTCCTGCAGAGAAGTCTGGAAAATTGAACATCGGGGACCAGATCATGTCTATTAATGGCACCAGCCTTGTGGGGCTGCCATTATCCACCTGCCAAAGCATTATCAAGGTACATCACTGCTTTATTCACCACAGTACTCAGTGGTCATGATTAGCACATCTCAATACTTCAGATAACCTTGGATTTATTTGAATGCAGTCATGTTACCAAATGCAGACTTGGTCAGATGTGGTTTGAGTTGGAACGCAACAACAACAACAAATTGCATTTATATAGCACCTTTCAAGTCGGGAGGACGTCCCAAAGCGCTGAATATTAAGGGGTTTACACCCAAGCGTGGGTTGGGATCAGGAGGGCTGAGGTGGTAGGGGTAGGAAGGTGACTGAAGGCAGTTGAAGAGAAGAGTCTTGAGACGGGCCTTGAAGGAAGCAAGGGAGTGGGAGGAGCTCTGGAATGAGGCTGAAGGCCTGACCGCCTATAGTGGAACAGGTATGGCGGGGGCTGTGGCCAGTGCCTGCAGAGCGGTGAGAGCAGACAGGTTGGTGAAGTTTTAATAGATCGCAGAGCAAGATCATGGAGGGTTTTAAGGTGAGGACCAGAATCTATATACAGGTAAACACTTGCATTGAATACAGTTAAGTGCCTCTAAAAGCAATTATCATCATTCTTCCATTTGTGGACACCTTGTACTTTGTGTTAGACACTGAAATTTGTAGCAATTTCACATTTTGGAATGACTGAAAGGAACAACCAGTAAAGACAGAAGTAAGCAAAGGAATTGGGGCTCAGCAAGTGTGAAGGCACAGGACAAGGTTAGTGGAGATGTGAGATGGGCATAGGGTCAGTGTAAGCAAATGGTGAGGTCAACAACATGGTGCAGCAATAAGGCTTGGAAACGTAGTGATTACAATTAGCTGGTTAGATGGGAGGAAGATTAACCATGATGTTGAGCTGGATTTTATTCTGGTCAGCCAGGTGTCTGACCACTCCAGAAACCTGTCAGCATTATTAAGAGCATCTAAATCAGACTGAGAGTTCCACCGAGCTGAACAATTGATTAACTACATCTGAGGTTCATAAACATGGTCAGGAATCTAAGCGGAATCTACGTCATGCATATTCCCACTGCCAGCACTATCCCAGAACATAGAACCATAGAAATTTACAGAACAGAACCATATTCAGCTCATCATATCTGTGCTGGCTCCTTTAAGAGCAATCCTTTCATTTACCTGCCCTTTGTGGAGTCCTGTAGCTCAGTGGTTAGAGCACTCGCTTTGCAAGTGAGAGACCTGAGTTCAATTCCAGGCAGGGAGAAACCTTGGGCAAGTTTCCTTACTCCACACGCCTAATAATAATCCCTCCAAAAACCCAAAACAATAATAAATTGGTCATTTTCAATCTACGACTGTTTGTGGGACATTGCTGTGCGCAATTGGCTGCCGCGTTCGCCCACAAATATACAGTCAATTCACTTTACAGTGTGTTCTGTGAAGCGCTTTGGGACGTCCTCCCGATGTGAAAAGCGCTATATCAAATGCAAAGATTAAGATTAAGTTTTCCTCATACTTCGCGGTTTACTCCTTTTTAAGGTATTTCTAGTCCCGTCTTGAAAACTAATATGGATCCTGCTTCAACTCCTGCTTCTGGCAGAGCATTCCATATCTTAATTTCTCTATGTGTGAAAATATGTTCTCCTAACCTCCCCATTTGCTAATTTATTATCTAAAATCAATGCCCTCTAGTTACTGACTCACCGACCAGTGGAAACAGTTTCTCCCTATTAATTTTATCAAAACCCCTCATAATTTCTATCTCATAATTTCTAATATAGTTGCCCCTCTCTATCAGGTCACCATTCTGTGAATGTTAAATAGATGTCACCTGGTTATCATTGGGAATAAACATATGCATAATACAGCAGGCAGATAAAGAAAGAAATGTTTAGGCTTATGTGGACACAACTTAGCATCTGTGAGATTCAGAAACTCAGAACACATACACGTGGGCACACACACAGAAATGAAAGCCCCAGTCTATAGATCTGTGTTGCGATGTTTTCTGATCTCCTGCTTGTTTTTCTTTCCAGGGGTTGAAAAACCAGTCTCGGGTGAAGCTGAACATAGTGCGGTGTCCCCCTGTCACCACAGTGCTGATCAGAAGACCTGACCTGCGGTATCAGCTGGGCTTCAGCGTGCAGAATGGCATTGTGAGTACTACTCTGGGGGTGCCTCACACAGTCACACTTCCAGTGTTTGTTTCCTCCTCTTGGCACAAAAACTCGTCTCCATGACATTTGCCTTCATTTGTGGTGCGAGTTGTTATCCAACAAATGTTAGCAGAGGTCGTTTAGAGACCAGTACCTTTTGTTTGCAGTTGAATTCGTTAGTGTCACTTGATTAAATGGGAGCATTAAATGCTGGAAAGTGCTTTCACTTGGTGCATCCAAAAAGTAATAATAATACATTGGTCACTCAATCCACGACAGTCCATTCACTTTATAGTACATTCTGTGAAGCGCTTTGAGACGTCTGGAAGACGTGATAAGGCGCTATATCAAATGCAAAGATTATTATTATCACGTTTCTCTCCCACTCTTCCTTACCCCCCCACCCCTCCCACCCAGCAGTATTGTGCACATACATGTGCGTTTCAGATAGAAGGAAAACATTTAATGAAATAATATCTTGCACTTAACTGGGTAAGTCTTGCATATTAGGTTGAAATTGGGAGTAGTTGACAACAGAAGTAGTCAGGTCTCTAATACCATCAGTACTGACATGCATTCACCTCACTCAAGTACAGAGCGAAGCCTGCGGTTACAGAATCAGTCAGCACCAGTCCGGCCTTGTATTAGCCGCTGTCAGTCGTACAGTGAGAGAAGCTCATACAAGCTTCGTATTGTACAGAAAATCTTCACAATCCTTAGTCCAGTGATACCACCAGAAGGCAGCAGTGCCTTGGTCTGCCCTTTAGTCAACAAGGCTTTGTTTTTTTCCTCGTCTGATGATTTTCATTTTATTTTTTGTCTAAATGAAGAGGAGGAAATGTAGAAAACAATTTTTTTTTAGCAAAAGGATGATGGATGTGGAGCTAACTCCCAAGTGTGGTGGACAAGAAAGTATGAACAGCTTCAAAAAGAAGCTATCAAAAAAGCTAATGGAATCATAGGTGTTCTAATAGAATATAAAAGCAAAAGAGGTCATGCCAAACTTATATAAATTGATATGTAGACCTAAGTTACAATACTGTGTCCAGTATTGGTTCCTGCACTTTAGGAAAGATGTCAAGTTGATAGAGGAGGTGGAAAGGAGATTTACTAGGATGATATCAGGAATGAGTGGATTGGCTTATGAGCAGACAGGAGGAACTAGTACTTTTTTTCACTGGAACAAAGAAGGTTGAGGGGTGACCTGCTCGAGGTGTTTAAAAATATGAGGGTTTTGATAGAGTCAATAGTGGGAATGAGATGGGACGGGTAGATGATGGGACTGGGACAGAAAGATGGTGGGAATGGGACGAGTAGATTGAGGAAATAGGATGAGTAGATAGTCGGGAATGGGACAGGAACATGGTAGGGAATGGGACAGGTAGTGCATTTGCCCAGATCCACTCATGTCTGAAATGTTGCTATGCTAGCATCTGATAAAATGTTTCAGGATCCTGATTTGAACACTAAGGAGGCTTGTGTGGTTTATGCTAACACTGAGCATTGGAGTTTTTTGAATGAGTAAAGTGAGCAGTATTTAAAGCCACGCTGGTAATCTTGGACCGAGACTTGTCTTTGTGCTAATTGTAAAACAATGCCTGATGAGAGCCACTTATTTGTTTAAAATCTAATGAGGTCTTTAAATCACTGCAGTCACAGTGGAACGTTAATAGCTGAATATATATTTACTGAGAGGACTTCCACCTCCCCTAGTATCAAAAGGACCTGCAAGGCTGGGAGAGGTTGTTCTAAGTCTAGATAAATAAAAATGCAAGTACAAATTTACACTCATATTGCGACTTTCACGTCCACTAATTTGCCTGTATTGAAACCCATCATGGTTCATATATCCATATTGAAACAGCAAATCTAGTGTTAATTTTATGGTGGAAATGGTGTTAATTTTATTCAAAAACAAAAATCCCAAACTTAGTTTGTACGTTATCGAGGCAGCACATCACTTTTTATAGACTTTCAAATGGGATGTACAGAAGGCTGAGTGCAAAAGGAAGCCAATCTCCAATGTGAGGAGAGTACTGAATGCCATTTAAATACAGCATTTAGGTAACTAAAATGATCGGTGAGGAGCTTCAGGGATACTGGTATTTGGTGCTTTAGGAAAGAGTGTAGGACATGGCTTTGTCGCTGTAAGTAACTCTCCTCAAGCACCAGGTTTGAGCTATGCCATCGTGCCAAAGCGTTCTGGGACGCTACCCTGTGTGGGGGACTCTATATAATATGTATATATATATATATATGCAAGTTGTTGTTGAGTAGGTCATTAGCTGGGCCAATAGAAAAATGCAGAAATATTTGTCCAAAATTGCGGGGTGATTTGCGAGTTCTGCGGGGTTTGCAAGTTTTGCAGAAAATAGCGGGATGTTGATTGGGGCTACTGAGATACGTTTTACTGCCAACCTACATTTCTTCACTTTATTGATAGAACTAAACATAAGGAAATAACACATATTAGATTGTTGCAAAAAAATATTAATTACTTCTTTAACATAAACTGGCTGGTCCTTTTTGGAGGGGGGCGGGGGGAACACCAGCGAGGCTACAGGAGCTCACCACCTCTTACCTCTCAGGGACAGCACCACCCAGAGACCCAGAGAGACACACACACCCAGAGAGAGACACACACACACACACATACACACCACACACACAAACAGTCATGAAGTGAATGACCAATTTTATCTGGGGGATTGCTGCCCTGTACACCGGGAGAAACTCCCTTCTCTTTTCAAGTAGTGCGATGGGATCTTCAACGTTCACCCGAATGTAACACAGCACAGACGGAATCTTGGTTTAATATCTCATCTGAAGGATGGCACTTCCAACAATGTAGCACATCCCCAACACTGTATTTGAGTGTCAACCTAGACTGTGAGTTTAAAATCCAGACGTGTGACTGGAACCCACAACCTTCTGACACAGAGGCAAGAGTGCTACCCAATGAGCTTGGCTGACACTTGGTATACAAAGCATATAACTACAGTAATGGTTATACTGCAGTTTATATCAGAGAGTCACGATCCCTCACTCAATACAGTTTATCTCATTTGATATACCTCAACTAGGGCACAGGGTTGTCCTGCACAGTGGTCCGAGATGCTATCCTGCATGAAGGGCCCTATATAAATGCAAATTGTTGTCAAATTACCTTGAGAAGAAGATATTTTACTAGCAACAGAAGCAAAAACACATTACCAATGGCACAGTTTATATTTTGCAATGTGTGGGAGTTACAAGGATATGCACTGCTTTTTCCCTCGCCACAAAGTCACTTGGAAAATATTCTATCACTGTTTGGCAAAGTGGAACGAGATTTAATGCTGCACTATATTCCGAGATGAGGTACATCATGAACATTTATGTCATAAGCCAGCATGGTGCAACCTGCTGTGACTGTGCATCTATAAGAAATAGCTACACACATTCAATTCAGACTCACAATAGTAGTGAACTCCAGTGAAGTACTAACACATAAGAGAGATCTCGAGGGTAGAAGGGACAGATTGAGGTTGCTTGTTCATACCTCCCAGCAACATTGTCTTCAGCCTGGGAACGAGGCACTTATTTATACCCACTCAGTCGAGAGATTGTACATGACTCATGGAGAACCTAAAGAGGTGAGATACATAACTTGTAAACATTTCTTTACACAAAGGGCTATGAGAATGTGGAAAACACTGAATCAGAATGCAGGAGATGTAGAATTCTTTGGGTGTTTAAAGGGAGATAAATAGAAGGGAAGCCAATTGATATACAACAACAACAACTTGGATTTATATATCGTCCTCCATGCCGGACGGCGTCTCAGAGCGCTTCACAATAACGGATCCCGGGGCTGAGCCAGGGGGAGGGGGAGGAAGGTGACCTGAAGCCGAGACCTGAAAATAGGAAGAGAGGGGGCGAGAAAGGGAGTTCCAGAGCCTCGGGGAGTAGTGGCTGAAGGCGGAGGACTCGAGGGACAAGGAGGAGGCCAGTCCCGGTGGAAAGCAGGCAACGGGCACTGTTGTGAGGAGAGAGGAGGTCAGAGGTGCAGAGGAGAGGAAGGATTTGAAGACAAGGGTGAGGATCTTGAAGTCGAATCTCTCCGGGACAGGCAGCCAGTGCAGTCTGGCAAGGACTGGGGTAATCGGGGAGCGGAGTTTGGTGCGGATAAGAATGCAGGCGGCAGAGTTTTGTATGACCTGGATTTTACAGATGGTAGTGGAGGGGAGACCGGCGAGGGAGGGCATTTGAATAGTCCAGCCGAGAGGTGACAAAGGCATGGATCAGGGTTTCAGCGGCTTTTGGAGTGAGGTATTGGCGGAGACGGGTGATGCGACGGAAGTGCAAGAAAGCGGTGCTGGTGAGGGACCGGATGTGGGGGAGGAAGGATAATTGGGGTTCGAACCTGACGCCTAGGTTGCATACGGGATACAGAGAAAGTCAGAGAAATAGGATTAAATGATTTGACACAATTTTAAAAAATGAGAGGGTTTGTTGAGCTCAATGGCCAAATCGTCTTTCTATATTTATAAAAATATAAAGCAAGCCTTTCGAAATTACTTCACTGCTTACCTCACATTGACTCCAAAAACAATTTGCTTTGAACACTTCTGGCATTGGAGACGTCTTGCAGATTGATGTGTTTTGATGTCATTTGAATAAATTGAGCAGCTGGTCTCCTGTCAGTCTTGGTGAAACCAGCAGCACGCTGACATCACCATAGATCAGGTAGCAAGTAACCTAAGAAGCCACTGCCTGAGTTGCATCATCTTCATTTATAATGTCTCAAAATTGGTTAAATATATGAAAGAAACAATACAAAAGATTATTGGGAAAGAACAGGGAATTGGGATTAGCTCCAATGGAGAAGCTGGCATGGAATGGCTTCCTATGCTGCAATGTCTATGATTTTATGAAATTAATCATTGCTCCTGAAAGGATTTTTTTATTATTTAAACCCATTACCAATAATCTGTGGTGCACTGCAACATTTAGTACTAAAGTGTTTAGCAGTGATCAACGAGTTTTGAAACGTGTACTTTAAAAAAATTATGGTTCTTGGAAAATAATAATAATCCTTGCATTTAAATATGGTGCCTTATCACATCGTTGAGATGTCTCAAAGCGCTTCACAGAATATACTGCAAAGTGAATTGACTATATTTTATCGGCGAAAAGAAGCAGCCAATTTTGCTCAGCAATGTCCCACAAACAGTCATGGGGTTGAGTGACTGAATTATTTTTCTTTTGAAAATATTACCCCTGGAAATGTGATCCGTCAATCGACGAACAACCAGGTTCCTACTTACTGCTAGGTAAACAGAGCCGTGTAAACTTGTCTAAATTTTCACTCTGCTCAGGAATTGAACCCGGGTTCTCTCGCTTGTGAGGCGAGTGCTCTAATCAATTTGCTACAGGACCCCACAAGTTTATGAGTAAGCTAGTTTTGAAAAGTGCACTTTAAAAACTTGTGGCTCTTGGTTGCCAGTGCATATCTGATGACTCAACTATTCTGTCTTCTTACAGATCTGTAGCCTTATGCGAGGAGGAATAGCAGAACGAGGAGGAGTACGGGTTGGTCATCGGATCATAGAAATCAATGGGCAAAGTGTAGTAGCAACACCTCATGAAAAGATAGTCCATGTTCTGTCCAATGCAGTTGGTGAGGTAAGTAGTTCAATTTATCTCTGTCATACGTAATGAATAATTGATGCAGTTTAATTTCCTTCATTTCAAACAAAGCGTTTTGAGGAATCAGATTATAGCTATGGGAAATCAGAGTTTAGCAATGTTCCTTTTTTTTCACGTATGTTAATTTTTTAAAGGCCTGCTGCTAATGGGTTCAGCATTCTCCAAAAGAGTGATTAGCAATGATTCTCTGCTTCTCAATAAATTTTATCACAAAACATGGAATAACCCCCTTTTATGTTTATGTCCTTCAGTTCTACAAGTGAAAATTAAAATATACTTATAATTAAATTAAAACATAACATTTTATAAAATTAAACTTCTATAAAATTAAACTATACTTGTTAAAAATTGCACCCACGTTGAGTGAGACTCCAGTTTTGACCAACAATTTTTATGATATGTTCCCAATAACATTATTCTGGTGTGAAGGTACCATCATTTGTGTTTCTCTGTTGAGGTTGAGGTTTAACTTCTGCAATGCAAAAACAAAGCATCCGAACATGAAGGAACAAGTTGCAAACATTTTTCAGAAGTCACCCCTCTGATTGCAGCTGGAGATGTATGTCTGCACTGAGCATGACTAGACTTGAATCTATCAGTATGAATGGTCAATCCTGGCGGAAGTTCTCTCCAAATGAATCCTGCCTCACCCATTCCTCCAGCCCTGTAACTAAAAATATTTAAGCTTTCAAAACCATCACCTTACATACCCTGCTTTGTTCTCAATTAAAACCCATGGTAACATTCTCTTTCATTAATAATCCTAATAAATAATACTTAGATGTCATTAAATCTTCCCATCTTGGCTTACTTCTAATAACTTGTGGGGAATCCTTGCATTCGCTATTGTGATAGTGACAGGAGGAAATTCAGTTGTAAAAAGAAATGACGGTAGATGCACCTCTCTGTGTTTTACAGTAGAGAATTTTACTTGTTTCGCTTTTTCAGTTAGAACAGAGTAAAACAGGGCATCACAGTGCGTCAGCGTGTTGAGCGAGTATGCTTTGGTTCTCCAGTGTGCTGTCCTGTAACAACTACAACAACAACTTGGATTTATATAGCACCCCTCACGCAGGGTAGTGTCCAAGAGAGCTTGTAAAGAAATCACACAAAAAAACTGTAAATGTATGAGACGATGTAGTGAAGGAATTAAATCAGAATTTTTTTTATATCGTGTGTCTGACCTTTACTGAGATGGCAGATGCTGCCACAGAGTTGCAGCTTTAAGGCCTGTATTGCATTATAAATTTGAGCAGAGTGGGCGAGCATGAAAGTCTTAAGTGTAAGCTTGCAAGTGAAGTGCCTCCATTGTGTGACATTCCCACCGGTTCTGCAGCTAGTAAATGTAATTAGCTGTATTATCTCATGTGACCTTGAACTTGCCTTAATAGCGGAAAAGAATAGCTGAGGGCTGACTTGAATGCCAAGCAAATTTACAGCTTTCACATTGAAAGAACCTTAGGATGAACAGTAATTTGCGTGGCTGACCTCTTCAGACATCTTGGCTTACTTATTAAAGTATCCTTTTTGACATGTTTCTTAGAAGGTAGTTGGAGTAAACTTCATTCTGAGACAATCAGCAGGACCAGGGAATAACAGGCTCTTCATGTTGGCCATTTAAAAGAAAGGAACAAAAAATGATTTCATTGATGGTAATAACACACTTCAAATGTAGCTTATTGTTAATAATTAATCATTTGCAAACAAAGAGCATACTCCTAAAATACGATATAATAAAATATACTTTACAAACCCTTTTGAAATCCCTATCTTCCGACGTGAAAGGCGCTATACAAGCGCAAGTTGTTGTTGTTGTTATTGTTGTTGTTGACTTCTCTTTAGTGCCTGAACTGCTGTATTCTTTTCTTAAATTTAGCTTTGCTTTACATCTGCTAGACCTTGTTCTAGTCATTTTACATTTAGCAAACTTTCAAACATTTCATCTGTTTTCCTGAACTCCCTCCGGTGGGCGTATCAGGAGAACACACCTCCAAACTGCAAAATAGCCCTCCAGTTGAGTTAGCGGAAAGCGAAGCTAAAAGACAAGGTCTTCAGCTAATGGAAGTCCCAAGAGTCCTGACCATTGATCCAATCCTGTCAGATCAGACACTGCCTGTGTCAATGTTTTGACCTGACTTAAGCATGACACCACAGAATGCTGATGCTGGACATTTCTCACTGTTGGCAGTAGCAGCCCATTGAAACCAGGACAAACTAATTCTATGACACTCCAAGGAGATTTTTTTTAAACCATAAATAGGTCTGTATTCTATTTTGTGAAGAAATTCTGCCTTGCTCTTCCCTATCTCCGTGACCTGTTAACTCAACAGTAACCTGTCCGCTCCCTCCACTCAACGAGCTCCGGCCTGCTCCATGTCCCCCACCTGGCTTGCCCCACCTTGGGGGTCCAGCCTTCAGCCTCTCTGCCCCCACCCATTGGAACTCCATCCCAAAGTCCCTTCACCTTGTCATGGTCACCCTCCTTTTTTTTACATAACCTGTCTGTCTGTAATAATTATCTTTTCTGTTATTTAATGTATGTGTTGGAAACTTTAACCTATTGAACGTGTTTAATGTTTCTATTTTGTAGTTTAAAGCATTGATTGCTTAAATGCGGTTATTGTCTGACCCAAATGCACTCGGGTAAACCCGTACTAACGTAGAAAGTTTGAAAAAGAACTAGCAACGTGGGGAGCCAAGTGCAACGTCTACACCCTTAATTTATATCTCCACGATATGGCTCGCTCCTCCCTCGCAGAGTGTACTGGGTGGCCTCTGTAAACGCATGGCACATAGTGAGCATATGGAGTTTGCAGCTCATCACACTGTTTACATCCATTAAGTTTGTCGCAAACCACGTTTTGCTTCTTGTTAGCCAGGTGTAGTGAAATCGGGCCAGAAGGAACTGGATCCTTTCCATGGTAGTTAAATACAGTGCAAACACTTTGTATTAATGTATCTACTACTTATATAGATCATTCTTAATCTTTATTTAAGGTGAAAACCTGAGAGTTTTGTAATAATTAGGGCTTAATGCAACCAAGATTGTTCTGAATACAGAACATATAACTGTTAGTGAGGAGTTCACGGACACAAGAGAATCCCACTCTCATGTGCCATTCATTTAATTTCTAACTTTGAATTGTCACTTTCTTTAAGTATTAAAAACGTAAATTTGTTTCAGCAGTTCTCAATTGTCAGTATCGAAGGGGCTGAACTCCCACTTTATTTCTTGTACTGTCCATTGACTTTCTAATTCACTTTTTAAATATATATATATTTTATGATCTATTTGTGCTCATCAAGACATGTTGAAGGTAAAAAGGGAACATTACCCTCTTTGATCATCCAGTTTCAGCCTTGTCAGGTGTCAGGTCAGGTGTAGCCCTTGTCAGATTTGCAGTGTAAAGTTCCCTCTCCCTGTCACAAAACCAACCTCAGAAGAATACCTTATAGTCCAGTAATTTGGATTTAATCCAAGAGCCGAGGTTTTAGAAGTGCATGCTCATACCTTCTTGACCCGATCAGAGAATATTGACTTTAAAAACACAGGTGTTGTTTACGCCCCTCCCATTTTAATCTGTCTTTTCTGTCTATCTGTGTAATTTTATGCTCTCTAATTTGATATACTTGCTTTCTTGCTTCGTGTGATTAGAAAAATGGCAGTTAATAACATAGGAGTAGAGCAATGGTCCAGCTTCCTAAAAGGTTCCTAAAACAGGTCAATCTAGTTCCCTAATTAACCCGAATACTTCTTGTGTCTAAGAACTTGTCTGGTTTCTTTTTGGAAAACTTGCATAGTTCTTGTTTCACCACTTGTACTGGAAGATTGTTGGTATTCTGGAGGGATGAGTCAGATGGACCAAACAGCCTTCTTCATCCGAACCAATCTTGTGATATAGGGGAATATAATAGCATGAACAGCTGGGCCTAGCACTGATCCTTGCAGGACAGCACTGGTCACAGCATGACAATCAGAAAGTGTCCCTTTGAACCCAACTCTGTCTTACCTCCCAAGACAATCTCCTAGCCATAGAGCTAGGTTTAGATTGGAAATTGGAGAGAGGGAAATCAGTAACAAGAGGGTATAAGTTAAGTATTACTAGAGAGAAAAGAGGAATGTTAAGTATTTTTAATTTTAGGATTTAAGAATATCAAATGTGTTTCAACAAATGGCTATTGAAGCTGTGTCCACAACAGCATTTCAGAGGGAATAGGATAATTACTTAAGGAAATATATAATAAGTATAGGGAAAGAGCAGGGGAATAGGATAAGAGTGTAAGTAGTAGTGGGGAAATGAGCAACAGCACAGATGTGATGGGCTGAATGGCCTCCTTCTGTATTGTAAGCTTTCTGCTGTGTGCAAAGGTGAATTTGCAATCACTTTAAATAGCAATGAAAATACAAAAGTAGTTAATAAGTTAGATTTGTCATTGTATCTATCGGCTATTGAGTGTAGATGATGTTTCTGCTCTGTATGAATCCACCTTAATCTATTTCCTAACGTCTGGCCTAGATCCACATGAAGACCATGCCAGCCGCTATGTACAGACTGCTGACTGCCCAGGAACAACCCGTTTACATCTGAGGGGCTAAAACGTCAGTCACCATAAAGTGGACACGTCTGTGTGGTTTGGTTGTGTTAGCATTGCTGCATTTCTGTGATGGCAGATTTTTTTTAAAATGTGTTGTGTTTTGACAAAATTTGTTAACTCTGATGTTTTTCGGAGGTGCAGCTTTGTGTGGTTTCTAGAAATTAATGTAAATAAATATAATGCGGACTAATTTTCACAAATTTCTCCACACTTAGGCTAGGTACCTGAACACGTATATTCTTTTGCAAAGGTTTTGACATTGTTAAGGGAGCACTTTTCAAAGAAGTATGCTGTTCGAACACACACAACGATTGAATGAATGCCTCATTGGGAAATGGGTTTAAGCCCAAAAGAATTTTTAAGGAACATTTAAAAATTGTGATATTTGCTGAAAGCCACATGTCCCACTGAGAAGGATTGTGCAACGCCTCGCTCCTAATGCTTTATTTTGTACCTTTTAACATTCCAGCTGAATTGTGTTATTTATTTTGTTTGCTTCACTGAAACATTCTCACAAAAAGAACGTGAAAGATCAAAACCATTGTTATTTGACAATCTCAAAAACTAAATTGAAGAAAGTCGTCTTTGTTTCATAAGATAATAATAACCTTGCATTTGGTTTATAGCAGGGATTTTATTTTCAATATTTGTTACATGCATTCTGTACCTTTAAGGAAAAGTAGCCGATGAGAAGGTTTTATTTGAGCTGTGTTTAAAACAATGTGTTTACATCTAACTCTTCTTTTCATGACTTCTGCTTTGATGTAAAATGAATCCACCAATGGGATCCTTCGAAACTGCTGTTCTGATTTCTGATGGGAACGTGAATAGAAAACTCGACTTAAAACCCAACATGTGGTGGGTGAGAGTATACGACTCAGTTAAAGGCAAGAATCTGACTAGGTTATCAATGGTCCCTAACTTGTGCTCACACTGATCCCATCAGCAGTGAAACTGAGTGGATGGTAGTGTTAATATGTACTCTCATGTCGCTGCTGCTGTTTTCACAGAGAAGAAAACATTGAGATGCAATTCCCCTTTAAGACAATGTAGGTTCCCCCTCCACACATACACACACACACATAGACACATTTTAATTTTATATAAAAGAAACTATATGCCATACAAAAGTAGATGTCTTATGAAACTCCTAAACTGTACAGTACTTTGCAGTGCATTGCATCAGGATCGTTCCGTATTGTGGCCTGAACCTGTCATCTGCCTTCATTCCTGAATTACTGTACACTGCTGTAATGTGCTGCTAAGTCTAATGTGCTGATTGTCCTCTACATCTCTGTAGGGCTGGGACTAAACTGGTTGCCTGATATGGACCACATACGCCAGAACGGCCCACTAAAGGCCCTGGTGTATAGCCGAGGAGGCAGCTCCAGGCACTGACAATGATGGGTTAAAGCATTAAGTGACAGCAACGTCCCTTGATCCGGGGAGGAAATGAAGAAACTTCCCACCTCTTCCCCCACAACACAAGCAGTAATTCAGTACAATGATAAATTTACCTTTAGACAAGCATTACCCAATGGGGAGTGTAAAACTAATACATTTATCTGACGTTGATAGGCATGTTTCATTATGACTGGTTAAGAGCATTGTCCAACATGGCACACATTTCTGAGCACTAAAATAATGGCAATAGGTAGCTTTTGGAGTGGAGGGTGGTGGGGGGACCATTAATACAGCTTCACTTTTGTAAAGCTTATTTATTGACTCTTGGAGCTAGGTTAATTCAATATAAAAGAACAAAGTAGGGTTTTTTTTCGAGAGAAAAGAGACTGAAACTATAAGGATTCACCTCTGTTGGCAGAGCTGCTTGAGATTTTCACACACTACTGCTGTTTACACATGAACCAAAAGGTCACATTACACTTACTCCTCGTCTTGCTCTGTAGCATTGTTACTTGAAGTAATTCCAATGGCATGATACAAACTAATGGTTTCAGTCATTCAGTGGCTTGTGTGTTAATATTTATAGTCAATTTCTGCAGCTGCTGATGTGACTTAATGTAAATATTTTACGCAGTACTAGAAATATCAAGTATATCATATTTTTTTTCTCTTGTAATGTGGTGCAATAGAGAATAATGTGAAACATCGGGAAAGTATAGTATTGCAATGGTAACAAATCCGTTCTTTGTAAACTGATGTCAATTCATGTGCGTCAGCTATTAAGTATGACTTGAATAATGCACTGCTAATGAATGTAGTTTCTCTTCAATATTATTTGATCATATATCTACAATATCCATTCTTGTTTATAATACAGCAGCAATGTTTATTTATTACTTTCAGGAATACTGTTTGGAGAGTGATATGTTTAACAAGCTACTTTCCTTAACATTCTTGTTCCTCAGCAGCTATGAAGGGAAAGAATGAACACTTCCTTCACTCCTCATGTGTTTCCATTCATTTCCCCCCCTCTAAATTGTTAACTTTTCGAATGCTGAATTACACACTGAGAACAATGCATAGAATACATGGAACATAAACAATCTAAGGATAGTCGAAGTGTCTTAACCCGATGCCTTTGGACACAAAGCTCCAAGGCTCTGGCGGAGTTCCCCACAATGGATTTAATTGACTGAACAGGACAATTGGCAGCAACTCCCAGATACCTGACGAACCCAGGCCACTCAGAGAAAAGAAACTGATCTGTGTGTACTGTAGACATGATGGGTGTCACTGCATTTTCCTTTTGACAGAATGGAAGGTAATGAGAAGGGAGAAAGAGGGGACAATAAACCTTTGCGGACACTGGACTGCATTGCCACTCTTTCTCCTTTTCTTTGGTGTTTTGAAATTCTGTTGGTTGGAAATATTACACTTGAAGTTTCACGAGACTCCAAAGTACAGCATGAGAACAGGCCAACATGCAGACAACAAGCAAAGGCGTTCTTTAAATCCCAATTAAGTGGGCGTGCATTAAGTGGTGTCTTTTCTTATCCATTACTTCTGCCTCGGGGCCGCGGGTAGGAGAGGGGAGGTTGAGAGGGAAACAAGTGCTTTGAAAATGGGCTAAACAACATCATTTCCTTTTTCTCCAAAGATAATGGTGTATTTTTAAAAAAATATATATTGTCGTTAAATTCTAACAAATGCCTACACTAAGCTAAGACAATAGGACTGTAGTAAAGGCGTCTCTTTAAGAGGGAAGTGCGGAGCCTTAACTACCTTAAATTGTTGAATGCCTTTCCTTGTTGGCTTGTCATGCACTGCACTTCTCTCTTTTTGACCAACGTTCCCCCATGTTGCCTTTCTGTAGCTGTCTCAGTAGCTGCTGTGCTATGTGTTGCATGTATTTACCTCTGTAACAGGTTGTGTTCTGTCACTGTATGCACAAGGCATGTGCCTCGCAACTCTGACCAATAAAATTTAACACAAACAATAGCTGAATGGTGTCAAAACTTTCTTTTGGGCCTCCCACTAATTTTTCTCTTTCAAATTTTGTTTCCCATCTTGAAGACATTGTGGCTTTTCCCACATGGCTGCATACAGAGTGGCCGAGTCTCCCGCCTTGACTCTTGCCAAGCTGTGGTGTGTGTGAGCTTGGGCCTTGGGCCTAGGGGTGGAGAGCTGGGCAGTAGATGCTTTCTGAGAGACACAGTCAATCTTTTCTGTTGGATAAGATTAATAAGAGTTATGTTTCTCTATTGTACAGGGTGAAATCTTAGGCAAGTTTCTTCACTCCGCATGCCTCTAGGAACTGGGTTCTTACTTACTATTTGCCTAGCGGTAACAACCAGCAACAAAATTAAATTTATAGAGTGCCCTTCACGTCGGGAGGACATCCCAAGGGATCAGGACCTGAGCGTGGGGGGAGGTGGGGTAGGGGTGAGGAAACGCAAAGAGGTGGGAGGGTGACCGAAGGCACAATCGAAGAGGAGGGTCTTGAGACCAGCCTTGAAGGAGGCAAGGGAGGAAACGAGGTGAAGGGACTGTGGGATGGAGTTCCAGAGCGTGGGGGCAGAGAGGCTGAAAGCTTGGCCACCAATGGTAGGGCAGGTCGGGTGGGAGACATGGAGCAGACCAGAGCCTGATGAACGGAGAGAGCGGGCAGGTTGGTAGGGAGTCAGCAGGTCAGAGAGGTAGGAGGGGGCAAGGCCATGGATGGTCTTGAAAGTGAGGACGAGGATCTTGAATTTGATCCTCTGGGGGATGGGGAGCCAGTGGAGTCGGGTGAGGGTGGGAGTGATGGGGTCACGGAGCCTGGTGCGTGAGAGTACACAAGCTTCGGAGTTTTGGATGATCTGCAGCTTGTGAAGGGAAGAGTTGAGAATGCCGATGAGGAGGGAATTTCCATAATTGAGGTGACAAATGCATGGATAAGGGTTTCGGCAGCCTGAGGGGTGAGGCAGTGGCGGAGTCTGGCAATGTTGGGGAGGTGGTGGTAGGCAGTGCTGGTCATAGCGCGGATGTGGGGGAGAAAGGACAGTTCAGGTCAAACAAGACACCCAGGTTCCTGACTGGCTTAAGTAAGTAGAGACCTGGTTGTTAGTCGATTGGTGGATCATTTTCTGGGGATAATATTCCCTCCAAAATTTAAAAAAAATTTGTTTACTCAATCCATGACTGTTAGTAGGTCAATGCTGGGCACAATTGGCTGCCGCTTTTTGTTGACATAACATACACTCAATTCACTTTACAGTATATTCTGTGAACCGTTTTGAAATGTATCAATGGCGTGATCAAGCGCTATATTAAATGCAAAGGATTATTATTATAAGGGCTATAATAGAAAAGTGCAGCCACAATTTTTCCACAGAATCTGCTATGAACCCACTAAATTCTAAGTTTCTGGCGTCTGAGCCTCTTGTGCTGTTTATCCGACGCAACTGTGTGTGGGGAAACATCGTCCGGGACTGGTCAGTATATGGCTCAAGCGGGAAATGGGCTATGCTCCACTCGGAGGCCCCAATGTTGTGATTGCCTGCATGTGTGTCTCTTAAGTATTTGTGAGTGTGTCTTTGTGAGTGAGTCTCTCTCCTCTGTATGTGTTTGTTAGTGTCTCTGTGAGTATTCTGTGTGTGAGTGTGTCTCTCTCTGTGTTTGTGAATGTCTATAGGAGTGTCTCTCCTGTATGTGTGTCTGTAAGTCTCTGTGTGTACTCTGTATGTATGTGTTTGTGAGTGTGTGTGTGTGTCTCTTCTATGCGTGTTTATGAGTGTCTGTGAATGTGTATGTGTGTCTCTCTGAGAATGTATCAGTATCTGTGAGTGTGTCTCTGTGTCTGTGAGTGTTTATGTGTCTGTGTGTGTATCTCTCTGTGCCTGTGTGTGTCTGTGAGTGTGTCTCTGTCTGTGAGTGTGTGAATGTGTGCCTCAGTGTCTGTAAGTGTGTGGGTGTGCCTTCCTGTGTCTGTGTTTGCTTGTGCCTCTATGTGTGTCTCTTTGTCTGTGTGTGTGTGTGTGTGTCTCTCTGTGTCTGTGTGTCTCTCTCTGGGTCTGTGAGCATGTGTGTGTCTCACACTCTGTGTCTGTGAGTGTGTATCTCTCTCCGTCTCTGAGTCAGTGCGCAGTGCTGAGCCCCGAGAAGTGGTGAGTTCCTGTAGCTCCGCAGTCAGGATACTGTCTGTTTTGGTGGATCTGCAGGCCTTTTGGGCTGGTGCTGGTGTCTTCCCGCTCCCCCCACCTCCCAAATGGGCCACCCAGTTTTGTTTAAAGAAATTAATCATTCATTTTTGCAACTTCTAATATGTTATATCCTCATATTTAGTTTTGATCAATAAAGTGAAAAAATGTAGGTTGGCAGTAAAATGTACCTCATTAGCACCAAACAACCCCTGCAATTTTCCACAAATTTTGACAAATTTCCTCACAATTTTAGTCAAATATTTCCACACTTTTCTATTGGCCCAGAATATGACATTGGATTTGTGGGGAAAACAGAAAGAGAATGATAAAATACTATTTTTTTAAAAAAATGGTCTTCCTCCTTTTATTATCACTATTATTGGCTTGTACAGAAAAATAATCACACACGGGCAAAAATCAGCTTCACATTTTAAGTGTATTGAAATGAAAATTGAGTTATTTTTAAAAATTTATATTAACCTTACAATTCCAGTTAGCCATAAAATACAGAGGTTTGCCATTGTGCAGTCTCACAGATTGAGTGTCAGCTTGGCTCAGCTAGAAGAACTCTCACCTTTGAGTCAGCAGATTGTGGGTTCAAGTCCTTTGAACTCACAGTGAAGATTGATATGTCAATACAGTGCTGTCCTTTGGATGAAACCAATGTCCCATCTGCCTGTTCAGTTGGGTGTTAAAAGATCTCATGGCACTACTCGAAAAGAGAAGGGAGTGTCTCCTGGTGTCATGGCCAAAAATCCCCCAAATAAAATTGTTCCTCTCACAAGCTTCTGTGTTTATCATTCAGAAAAGGTTCCCTGTACTGTCTTTCAACTAATAAACCCAATTCCTCATCTTCCCCTTGTCCCGCAACCCCCTTCCCTAAAGGATCCATACAGATTTTCATAGAAGAATTAGAATTGTTGACAATACAATTACTTACATTTGTATTGCATTTTCCACACACACAAAAAAGCCTGCTTTACAGAATGAGATTAATTTGAAATGACATGTTGAAGCTAATTTGCACAGGAAACGTCCTGAAAAATGAGCCAAACAGCAATCTGAGTAGTTAACTCATGTGAATTTGGGAGTGAATGTGGATGTAATGTAAATGTAAATTGGTATAACCAGTGGGGAAAACTCCATATTTCTCTGAAATAACTGCATGTAGCAAATACATAGAACTCAGGAAAACAAAATCTGGTATTATTGTCAAGAGATACCACAAATATAGCCTAAACTGGACCGAAACTGTAACTCTAATGTTATGTATATAAATGTGTATTCAAATGTAGACATTCTTATATCTAACAATTCATTCTTAAATGACAGTAAACTGTAAATCACAGGATTTAAAATATATAGTAGCACAACAGCACAATTAGCTAACTGGTAAACATTTATTTCTTCAAAGTAGTAGCCATTGCCTGCAGTCCCCATTCTCCTTGTACATTCATATCTTCACCCAGTGCACAAGTAATTTTAAGAACATAGTTGAACTGCATTGAATCAAGTCAGAATGATAAAAAAAATGTTGTCTGTTCTTTTTCTTACTAATAATAATAATCCTTGTATTTGATACAACGCTTTTCACGTCTTCTAGTCGTCTCAAAGCGCTTCACAAAATATACTGTAAAGTGAATTGACTGTATATTTGTGGGAGGAATGTGGCAGCTAATTGCGCACAGCAGTGTCCCACAAACAGTCGTGGATTGAAGTGACCAATTTATTATTGTTTTTTTTTCTTGAGTGATTATTATCAGGCGTGTGGAGTAAAGAAACTTGCCCAAGGTTTCACCCTGCCGGGAATTGAACCCAGGTCTCTCACTTGTAAGGCGGGTGCTCTAACCACTGAGCTACAGGACGCCACAAGTCCTGAAGTTACTGAACAATAACTTACAATTATATAGTGCACTCCACGCCAGCTAAACAATGGCGGAGCACAATGCTAAGCTTGGGGGAGAGGGAATGTGACCATAGGCGCGGTCGAAGAGGAAGGTCTTCAGGCGTAACCTGAAAATGGGGAGAGGGGGCAAGGAGAAGGGATTGTGGGAGGAAGTTCCATAGCTTCAGGCAGTAGTGGCTAAAGGCACAGTCGCCAATAGTGGAGTAGAAGATTCGAGAGACAAGGAGGAAGCCGGAGCCGGTAAAGCAGAGGCAGCAGGTAGTGCTGCGAGGAGAGAGGAGGTTGGACAGATGGGGGGGTGCCAAGGCATGAAGGGATTTAAACACCAGAGTGAGGATCTTGAAGTTGATCCGCTCTGTGACAAGGAGCCAGTGGAGTTTGGCAAGGACTGGGGTAAACGGGGTACAGAGTTTGGTTTGGGTGAGAATGCGGGCGGCAAGTTACTGAACTACCTGACTAAGCACTGTTCACCCTATTTCAGAATGAGGTGCATATGTCGTGACTAAACTCTCTGAAGAGGATTCAAGCCGTATCATGCATTCATGTTAGACACTTGGGATAGCTTCTTGCGGTTGTTAACCTTTTGAATACTAAAGACCCACAATTAAGATGATAATTAAGATTGTCCTCTATGGCAGTCTCGGTAGTCCAGTTCCTGAGCCAGGCAGTCTGCAGTACTCCAGGGCACTGCTGATGGTAGACCAGCTGGGTCATTGGTAGGACTTGGGAGGGACAGATCAGTCACTGGGGGCACTCAGCTCCTGTTAACCCTACAAGCCAAAGCCCCAATGGGCACGATGGTCCAAGTTGGACAAGCAACTGGAAAGCTTGCCACAGTGCTGTCAATTGCAAGCTACATGGTTTTAGTTGGTTAGACTCCACCAGTACCTTAACTCACACTCTGGGTTCTCCAAGTCTTTACTCTTGCTGAATCGAGTACTGTCCGGAATGCAGAGATAGGATCCATCCTTCCAGGGAGATGGCCTGTATTCCATTCCAGACACAGTAATTATCAATGTTTAGATGGGATGTATGGAACTCGCAATCAGTTTTGGATACGCTTAAGAATGGTGATGGGTTTCTGCTTGAGTCAGACACACAGCTGACCCCTAAGTGGTTTACTGTAAGGGACAAAGGTGCAAGGAGTGGTGCAAAGATTAACACACACTTTTTCAAATCTGGTAGCTGTGGACAGAGCCCAGTCCAGAAAAGCACAAAGTTCTCTCACTCTCTCCGCTGTGTTTTAAACGCCCCGATAAGCTGTCTGGCATGAAGGGCGCTATATAAATGCAAGTTGTTGTTATTGCAAGGCTCCTGCATGACATCAGTTTATATCATCAGAGCACAATTCCTGCCTTCATTAAGTCCACAGCACAGTACAACTATGGCCCTCTCTCGATTTAGCATTCTCAACTCAGAGAGCTTTCTAAGAAAAGCGAGGGTGTGAAACGGAAAAAGAAATCACAGCACACTACAGCTGCTGGACATTGTTCAGAGAGAGAGTGTACAGAGCTTTCCCCTCTGCACTATTTGGCTCGGGAGCCCTCAAGTGATGCAACTGGGTTCCCACAGTAAGAAAGTGTTTGATTCTCTCGTGTCACAAAGACCTTTTGCTCAAATGAAGTGACAAAAAAAATACCCTCACTTTATTAACCATCAGAGCCAATATTTGACAGGGAGCAAACCCTGACATTTTAACCTAATTTTAGGCATCGCAATAATCAAACTCAGAAGGTATGAGACCTTATTGTAGTATCTCAGAGAGCTGTGCGTTTGTGACCAGCTCTTGTGGTTAACATACAAAATTAGAAACATAAAATAATTCTCTAAATCTTTTGACATGACACACATCTAGAAGTGCAAAGGGTGTGTAGTCAGTGCTCAAAGGGTTAACCGAAATGTCTGCGATCAAACGTGACATTTTCTCACATACTGTCTTGGCCAGATTTGGCAACAGCCAAACCTTTCTGCTTCTAACAAAATAAATAGCTTTACCCTTTGAGATGATGTGCTCACTGTTTTGTTACTGATGTGGCCGATGATATGAAGGTGTCCTTAGAAAATCTGGCTCTCTGAGCAGCTATTAATTAGTCTGTTGGCCTGACACAGACATGAGCATACGAGTCTCAATGCATTAAGACCCAGTGAATTTCACAACTGTAAATGGCAACGTTCATTATTGTCGGTCGAGGTAAGAGTATCATAAGCCGTTTTCGCTGCTTTTGATAAGTTATATTTACACACATCGTTCTCCAGTATGCTAGGTAGCCTCACATTGAACAGATCCCCCCTTCCCCATATTGCACTGTGACCCTAGACATATTCTCTTCGAGGCTTGGCTTTTTTTCTAAAGCAGCCTTGGTTTAGGTTACAAATTTAACTTCACTCTCTTTTCAGAGAATGGTCTCCTGGGCTCCCCCAGCCAGACTGTGGGGCCTTTCCTGGTCGGGTTTGTGCTCGCTCCTTTCTTCTGTCTGTGATTCGGCAGTGGTGAAGGTGCTGAGGTCCCCACAGCTGTGCAAATGAAGCAGCTGAGCACGTCGTCTTGACTGAGGGGTCTCCAGCCCTGGTATGTTTTGCTCAGAACCAGTGATGACCTGTTCAAGAAAAAAAACCAAAAGCTGCTGGTAACTTTGCACACTTGCCTATTAGGGAACATATGACCAGTCACTGGGGGCAGGGAATCATCCCATTCAACTCCTATTAACCCTGCAACCCAAAGCCCTAACAGGCAGGGTGGTCCTAGCTGGACAAACAGGGAGAAAGCTTGCCAGATAGTACTATCAATGGCAAGCTATGCGATATCAGCTGGTTAGACTCCAGCAGTACCCCAACTCACACTCTGGGGTCCCTAAACCTTGGCTCCTGCCAACCTGCGCCTAATACTTTCTGGAATTAGGTAAGCAGGATGCATCCCTCCAGGGAGAGAGTGCACATTCCATTCCAACAATCTATCTCTGGGATTTACATGTGTAGGTGGGATGCATGGAAATCTCAGCTTGGTTTGGATACTCTTATTAAACATGGTGATGGGTTTCCGCATGTGTCAGACACCCGGCTAACCAAAAAAAAACCTACTTTGATTAGGAAAGTGTTAAAGATCAGGATTTATAGTCTCGGGTGACCTCCAGTGCAGTCGTGAGAGAGCGCTGGATTGTCAGTGGTGCTCCACTTCGATTGAGCTGTTAAACTAAGATCCCACCCGGCAATTAAAGATCCAATGAGGCTATTTGAAAAGGGAAGGGAAAAGAGAAATCCTCCAGGTAAATTTATTTTCATTTTGTGACGTGCCGGACACAACTAATCATAAATTGACTGGAAATGGCATGAATATTTCAAAAACCTTTGATAAGACTTCCTGTAAATTGTGAATATTATAGGAGAATGTTTCAGTCGTGCTCAAGTCAATCGCTAACTGAACATTTGTTTGTGGAATTTTAGCTGGCAAACACTGAATATTTTATGATACAAAAATGAAGAGCGACAGGACTGCAAAGTGCCTCTTACTTTATCAATGATGTTGGCACTTGCCACAGCCTCATCCATGTGCTCTTCATCTGATTGCAGGACTGATTTAATGTTCTCCACCAGCTCCTGAACCTCAGGAGTCATGCTACACGAAGACTGTTCCAGAAATCTTGCAACGAGTAACTTGGTGTCTCTGTAGCTGTTGTAATCTACCAATGACCTGGGTCTCACTCTCGCTGCCCGTGACCTGCGCCCCTTCCGCAAGGTCACACCCTTCAGCTCTGGCCTCTCCTCAGTTTGTGTTGCAGCTTCGCAGCTCACCACAGCATCTGATAAGAGGAGAAAATGAGGGAGACCAGACATGGAGTTCTCAGGAATGATTCGATGATTATTTCTCGACAGATGCACAGGATTGATACCGCAATCTTTAAGCATTCTTCACAAGTTACTCAAGAGTTCACTCTTAGCAACACCACAGCATTGTTGACACTACTGAGAACTAAATAAACATGCAATTAAATGTACATTTTATAGTAAATCTATATAAATATATAATAAATATATAAATGCTCTATGTATATAATATATATAATATGTGTATATATACAAACATGCACAGCTACAAGGGGTATGATTGCAGGACTGTAACCTAATGTCAGGATTCAGATGGTTAATTATAAATGTATTTGAATTTTACTTGCGGGTAGTCTTGTGAACCTTCTCAATTACTACCAGGAATTAATTATTCTGTATCATAAGGTATCAAAATCACTAACAGATAGACTTGAGTACAAAATCTATCAATCTTAAACTGAATTATCAACCTTGATCTTACAGTGAACTCCAGTGAATGACAAGCAAAAGCAGCAAGAAAGCTTACTAGACAGTGTATAATGGCAAGCTATGCAGTTTTAGTTGGTTAGACTCCAGCAGTACCCCGACCCACACTCTGGGGTCCCCAAGCCTTCACGCTTGCCAACCTGCACCTATACTTTCCGGAATTAGGTAAGCAGGATGCTTTCCTCTGGGGAGAGAGTGCACATTCCATTCCAACAAACTATTTCCTGGATTTCCAAGTGTAGATGTGATGCATGGAAATCTCAGCTTGGCTTGGATACTCTTAGCACGGTGAGGGGTTTCCACATGAGACAGATGCCCGATCAAACAAAAAAAAAGCTCTGCCATGAGGGGCAAACACACAGACCGAACCACCCGCTTCCACTATAGCATGTTGGGGAAGTACTGCCGGCTAGAGCATAAAGCCATACATATACCAAAATCCTGCAGGTTTTGTTCCCTGTCTGATCTCTCCCATTAGACTGTATCATTGACTGTATAGAGACTGTACAGCACATGGTGCAGCCCACATGATCAGTGAGAACAAAACCCAGGCTCAGATCTAATGAAGGTAGCAGACTCGTGAAATCTTGACAGCTGGCTGTTAAAACACCTCATATTTATTTTAAACCTCAAAATTTGAAAAGAAACACAAAATAAATGCCAGCTAAATGAATAATCCTTGCATTATATTTAGAAAGAATTAATTCGGAGTTTTATACCCCCTTAGCATGTTGAAACATCTCAAAGCATTTGAAACATACTTAAGCATAGTAACCTTTTTAGGTAAATACAGTTGCCATTTTTGCCAGCAAATTCCAACATCCATGAAATTAACAATGATAATAATAATCCTTGAATTGAATATAGTGGCTTATCACATCATTGAGACGTCTCAAAGACTTCACAAAATATACTGTAAAGTGATACGGAAATACGGAAGCCAATTGCGCACAGCAGTGTCCACAAACAGTCGTGGACTGAGTGAACCAAATTATTATTATTTTTTGAGAGACGGAAAGCGATCCGGGAATTAACTATCAACTGGATTCCTACTTACTGCTAGGTAAATAGAGGTGTGTGGAGTAAGGAAACTTGCCTAAGGATTTCCCTCGAAAAACCAAACTGAGATTGACCTATTAATCAATGGGATTCCTAACCCCAGTACCACGAAGAACTTCCTATTCTTTTCAATATGTGTCATTGGATCTCTTTAACTTCCACCTAAACAGACAGCCAGGACTTCCATTTGATATTTGATCTGAACAGGCCCTAACAACAACAAACTCTATTTGTATTGTGCCTTTCAAGTCGGGAGGATATCCCAAAGTGCTGGACACCCGAGCTGGGGGTTCGGATCAGGAGGGGTGAAAAGCAGAGAGATATATTAACAATGCAGCACTCCCCCAGTACTGCACCGGAGTGTCAGCTATGAACAGTGATCTGTGGAGTTTCAATGTGCAGTTTGATTCCATAATGTTCTGACTGAAGAGTGCTACTATCTGAGCCAGGGAGCTGCAAAAGGATTCATTAAAATGCCAGCAGCAATCAGAGATATTTCTGATTTCAATATCAGTTTTATTGTTGCAATCCCCCCCCCTCCCGCCCCTGAAAAAGCTAGAAGAATATTTTTGAATAAGTTTTAGCAATTTCTACATTTTAAAACAGATTGTGATTTATGGAACTATCTCAGTCAATCTTCAGCTATTTATTAAAAAAAAGGTTTCGAGACATTACGCAAAGCTTTGACATCAGGATAATAAAATTTGTCAGGGATTGTTGATGAATTTCCTATTAACTTGAAAAGTTGAGCTATTTATCAAATTGTCTGCTGCATTCTATAAATTGCACAGACGTGAGCATTTGTTATAAGTGATCTGCCAATTCCAATGCCAAGGTGAGCCTGGCGGAAAGTAAACTTTGCTCTCTACTGGACTTGGGAATTGACATAGGATTGAAATTGATAAATCGGTTTGCTTGCATTACTTTGATTTTTTTTGTTCAGGTAAATTAGTCACCTATGAAACAGCAGACCAATGCACAGCTGATTTCATCTTGGTGCAACCACTCAGAAAGGTGCTGTGTGAATGGGGGTTAATTATCATTAGGTCACTAAATTCAATGTATGTGTTAATTAGCGTATCACACTGCAATTTTCACTGGTGCCACATTGATGATCTCGCTCAACAACACCCACCATCCACCCAATCCCACTCCGCTCCCTACCCACACCACCACCATCATTCATTACCTTCTGTAACTAGGTCCTGGAGTAGTGGGTCACTGTTGGATCGCTTTAGGTTTGAATTGCTTGATTTCTTGCATGCTGTTTCGGAGTTCCTGCTTCGGGGAGGGTGCACGATGCACAGCTGCAGAGAGTCAGTGAGAGAGCAGCTTGGAGAGGCATTGTCTGTAGAGTAACACAGAAAGCAATCACCTCACACCCCAGGACCTTTGGTCCTTCCAGTCACTTTTCATTCCTTTTTTTTACGCAGTCTGTCTGCATAATTAAGGTTCTGGACCATCTGTGTCACTATTCCCCTCACCTCTGGAACTCCATGTCTCCAGTCCACCTGCCCTCTCTATTTCTATGGAGACCTGTAGCATATTGGTTGAGAATTTGTCTCACAAGCGAGAGGACACGGGTTTCATTCCCAGGTGGGGAGAAACCTTAGGCAAGTTTCTTACTCCATGCACCTGTTTACCTAACAGTAAGTAGGAACCCGTTTGTTAGTGATTGGCAGATCGCTTTCAAGGGGTAAGAATCCTTCAAAAAAAATTGGCCACTCAATCCATGACTGTTTATGATGCACCACTGTGCACAATTAGCTGCCACTTTTTGCCCACGAAATATACAGTTAATTCACTTTACAATATATTTTGTGAAAAACTTTGAGGCATCTCAAGGACGTGATAAGGTGTTATATCAAACGCAAGGATTATTATTCCTGTTTTATGTGTTGGTGTATATGTATAAGAATATGAATTTTTAAAGTAATATTGGAAATACTGCAGAAAGAAGGTGTTCTTAAGAATATCTATGTATATTTTTTCCAGATCTTTTTAAAAAAATGTTCCCCTGCACCATTCTTTTGCCATGGCTGGGAGGTCATGTATCTGTTGTCGACCTCCATTTCCACTCTATTTAGCCACTAGTCAGCGAGCAAGAACACCATAACTTTATGGAACTTCCCATCATAAACTAACACCAACAAGGCCTGTAAATCTTCTGACGCTCAGATAGTTTTGCACAAGTCATTTGGATCAGGCACAAGTCCAGCCACGGCTAAATCTCAGACCATTACTGGGCATCCCACGGGCCGATTTCATCCGCCCCCTCCCATCTGGCCCACCCGCTCCCTCCATAACCCGTAAATGTTATGTTTCTGGAAGGGAAACACAAAAATATTGCTTATGCAGCTTGGGGACGATTCACAAATAAGGCATTCAGCCCTCAGCAGCCAAAAAGTTGGACCACCCCTAATGTTTTAAAGGATAATGTGTATATATATGCTCAGTTAACAGTCCAAGGTTCAGAGGCTGCAGGACAGTGAGCAGCTCGTATCAGCTAGCCAATAGACCTCTGAGACTCTTGTGTAATGTGTTCGACTTGTCCTGCCTGGGGAGTGTCTGTAGCAAATGAAAGCTCTTGTGCAGGACTAGGACTGCAGTAGCCCTAATGGATAAAGGTACCAAGCCACACAGACCAGAGGTTGCAAGTTCACTGTACATAACCCAAATTGTAATCGTTGATGATTCATCAGTCTGCACTCAGTTAGCTGTTCTCGGGACAGAGCAGCAACTGAGGTGTTACAATTGGCCTCTGTGCTCCCTAAATGAAGAAAGGAAAATTAATCTGCGCATCCCTCCTTCTGCTCAGCAGAGACGCCTACTGCCTACTGGGAGGTGGGCATGTGTGGACAAGGAACAGTGAAAGGATCAGGTTTAGCTGTGATGTCCTTCTCCCAGCCTGTCAATGCTCACGGCCAAGACCTCTGCATGAATAATGTCCATTTGGCAGCGTAGTGGAAGGTCACTGGGGTCTATAGAATCTTAGTCCGTGGGAGGCAAAAAAAGGAATCAAACTCTTCCAGAAGAGGAGGGTGAGAAATTGGAATAGAAAACAAAACAGAAGTTCACATAAGGAATTCTCATCTTCATTTAGCAGCTGCTCTAAAGCAGTTAATTCTGTATAAAATCTGGGATGTGGATAGGCATAGAATATCAATACCATTGGCTCGGATTCAAGAGCTTCTGCCTGACTCAGCAGCTCAGCAGTAACCATGGCTTTTTACTGTGAGCTCACTGTGGCTGAGTTTAGAGGCAGGCTGCAGAATTAGCACAGTAAGACATTCCAGAGAGGGCATCTCAAGTCACTTACCAAAGCAGAGCAGAGTTTTGCAAGAGCGCAAGCAGGTTGTTTTTTGGAGAATAACATCACACTGCTACTGCTGCTATTTTCTCTCTCTTTTTGGAGCAGGTCCCACACTGCCCAAGCCTCCCTCAGGCAGTGCCACCCAGAGGCCAACGCTGGCAAGAGATGGAGAAGGACAGCTCCAGGGTTGGGGGTCAATTCTGCATGTACCCTGGAATTTCTCTCTAACACTCTGCTCGGACTCCAATCTCTGTTTTGACGTTTGTACTGTTGTCTGGGCAAACGGCAAGAGATGTGTAGGTGCTGTGCACATGTGATGGAAATCCGAGGGGAGTTCCAAATTCGCTATTTACAAATCCTTTTACAAATCGCGCAATTTACCCCCAGTGACATCTCTCTCTGCTTATTGAGGAAGCCTTCCCCCAGCCAGCGCCTCCCCACAGCCACATGACTGAGAGAGATTTGGAACTCATCACTCATCGCAGGATCACACCTACACTGTAACGTTCTATTAGTCAGAGCACTCGCCTCGCAAGCGAGAGGACCCGGGTTTAATTCTGGCAGGGTGAAACATTAGGTAAGTTTCCTTACTCCATGCACCTGTTTACCTAGCAGTAAGTAGGAACCCAGTTCTTATTCGATTAGTGGATTGGTTCTGGGAGTAATAATCCCTCCAAAAAAAATAATAATAATTTGGTCACTCAATCCACGACTGTTTGTGGGACACTGTTGTGCGCTATTGGCTACCATGTTTCGTCCACAAAATATACATAAGAATATAAGAACATAAGAAATGATAGCCAAAAAAAGACCAACGTCTATCCAGTTTGCCTTCCACCCTCCTGGCGGTCGCATGCACATGTCCCGAACTACCTATGTTCTATGTCCCATAATATTATTTCCTATACAGTCAATTCACTTTACAGTATATTCTGTGAAGTGATTCAAGACGTCTCAATGACGTGATATGGCGCTATATAAAATGGACGGATTATTATTATAACATTTGCTTGTCTGAATCATTTAAAGGGACACACAAACAAAAGAAAACAGAGAGCTGTGGCTGCAATCATTCTACAGATATTTGTGAGATTCCTGATCTTCACGCCATCTGCAGACTAGGATCCTAATCTGGCATGTGACATCAACAGGGATGTAGCAGGCTCTGGGGGAAATTGAGCAGTGCTTGCTCTCGTATTGGTAGTTTCCTGCCTCTCCTGGATCTTTAACATTCACCTGGAGAACAGGCAGGCGGGAACCCAGTTTTGTGTTCCCTTAAACCCTAAAACCAAACTCCTCAAAGGTTGACCAAGACTTTTGCTTGATGGCCAATGGTGAAAGTGATGCTAGAAGAGATAAGTGGAAGGATTCTCTTTTACCTTCAGTCGTCACGTGAGGCCTAATTCTTTCTGAAGGTCCGTCCATCACCTCACTGACCAGTAGATTTGAAACCTGTCAACACAAAAAATTGGAGGCATTTGACTATAAGAAATTCTTCAAGGCCTTAGCATTCAAATTGAAGTTTTAATGCAGTTATAAAGTACCAGAGCCAAACTAGGGGCCTGAAATTCTCCCTCCTCTTAGGCTGTAAGACTACAGACTGAGAACCGGCTTTCAAAATAATTTGGCTATTGTGCAAGATTCTCCTTGATCTTAAATTCTAAGGCTGAGACCAGGGAAGCGAGCAGAGATTAAATACATATTGGGTTATCCACTAAGCCTTCAGAGAAATGTTTCAATATTTTATAACAAATTTAAATGAAACAAGATTCCTGGATGCTACTCTATGCAAATGCCCAACACAAAACTATTCGCAGATCAGATTTGTTATATTTTCAGCTTTGTAAAATTCATCACCAATGAATTATAAACCTCATGGGCAAAGTGTGCAAAAAGAAGGCCAGCCAGCAAAACAGATACGTTTTAATTTCTCATCTTTTGGACTTTGCCACTTTAGGATTTGCGATTAACCTGCCCTGGATTTAACTGGCCCAGATTTCACCAACCCCAGATTTCACTAGCCACAAATTTCACAAAACAGAAAGCGCAAATTCACACAGCAGAGTCTTGAAATTTCACCTTGTCTTAACCTGTGAGACCACTTGTGTCTTAATTAAAATTTTAAATACATTTCAGCCACTACGCCCTGAAGCTCTGGAACCCTCTCCCTCAATCCCTCCGCCTTGTCCCCTCTCTCACCTTTTTCAAGTCCCGCCTAAAAACTTCCTTTTCGACTGTGCTTACAGTCCCTCCCCTCCCCACACCCAGCTCTGAGTCAGGCTCTGCCACTGTTAAGCACTCTGAGACACTACCCTGCGTGGAGGGCACTATAGATTGTGCAAGTTGTTGTTTAAAAACTTTTAATCAGGTCTTTTTACCGTTCTACAAAAGAATTGGCTTCCAAATTGAAACAACATTTAAGAATTATCGGCACTTCTATGTGATTTACAATTTTAAGGCAACACGGTCTAAGATCACTGTGCTATCTGGTCTCAAATCTAATTTTGTGAGTGTTGCAAATTCGATCCATTGTTGTAGTTTCCAGGCACCAGGTGAATGGCCCGTGCATGTGAAGAGCTTGTTTCTTGGACTGCAGACTGTTTTCCTGCTGTAAATCATGGTCTGTTCATCCAGTCGATTTTAAGCGATTTCTCCCAGCTTGTGCCAGTCGCCTTCAAATCATGTAGTCAAAAGAGAGTCTCTCACAGGGCCTCTTGACAAACAGTGCATGACACTTTTTTTTCCTCATCTCAGAATCATGTACATCCCTTAGGATCTCATAAGCATTTCTCGTCACAATGGGGGAATTGAATATAAGGGAGTAAATGGAGGTTGACATGCAGAGAACAAAGCAAGGCTATGAATCTTAAAATAAACAAATTAAGCTGTGCTCTTCATCTTTCATCTCTACCTCCCTGTCCTCAAGAAATACAATTCATTTTATATCAACTCAATTATTTTACTGCTATTTCTTAAAATTTTAAAGACCGGCCCATATAATGTCTCTACTAGGCTTTTGGATAACATCTGAGTAATAACTGAGCTCAATTACAACAACAACAACTTGGATTTATATGGTGCCCTCCACGCCGTACGGCGTCTCAGAGCGCTTCACAATAACGGATCCCGGGGCCGAGCCAGGGGGAGAGGGAGGAAGGTGACCAAAGGCGCGGTCGTAAAGAAAGGTCTTTAGCCGAGCCCTGAAAATAGTAAGAGAGGGGGAGAGGCGAAGGGATTGAGGAAGGGAGTTCCAGAGCCTCGGGGCGTAGTGGCTGAAGGCACGGCCACCGATGCTGGAGTGGAGGATTCGGGGGACAAGGAGGAGGCCAGACCCGGTGGAGCAAATTAGTGGTGGTGGCCCTATCTTTCAGAGGAGATATTAAACCGAGGTCCCGTCTGCCTGTTCAGGTAGACGTTAAAGATCCCCTGGCCCTAATCGAAAAGAGAACAGAGTTTTCTATCCCAGTGTCCTGGCCAACAATCCTCCAAATAACATTGGTTATTTACTTAAAACAAAAACAGAGAGAGCTGGGAAAATTCAGCAGGTCAGGCTGCTATGGAGAAAGGAAAGTGAGTCAATGTTTCGGGTCCACAACCCTTTGTCAGAACTGTTTTTATTTCAGATTCCAACATCTGCAGTATTTTGTGTTTTGTGTTGGTTATTTACTTCATGGCTGTTTGTGGGGGATTGCTGTGTGCAAATTGACTGCTGACTTTGCCTACAAAATACACAGTATATCCTGTGAAGAGCTTTGAGATGTCTCTACGATGTGATAAGATGCTAAATCAAATGCAAGAATAATTATATTGTAGCATTATATTGGTGGGGGCTACAATTACGCTTTGTGCAGCGGCCCTGGGCTAGCGAGAGAAAATCATATATATGTGGGTTGAGGACAAGATGGGGCTCAACTGTGAACCCTGCCCCCACCCTCCCCCATTGATAGATTGTTAGAAAGAAAGGTTACACATGAAGAGTACAGAGCTTTGGTATGCGACACAACTTTTGATGAGATTTTTCATGGGATAGAATATAATTTCAAAATAAAATATGTTATATTTTACTGTGCAGATTGGGAATTTTTTTCCTCTTGTCTTGACCCTGAGAAATATAGAAGTCTTACGGCTTTAAGGTGTTTGTGAGAGAGGAGACAGTCACCTATCAGCATGCTGTCAGTGATTCTGATAAGCCTCAGACTGACAATTTACACAGCTAAGATTGCAAAAGCGATCGGGCTGAACAAATGGATATACAGTAATTCAGCTTTCAAAATGATATTAATATCTGCTGACAGGCAAGAGTTTACTCTGAAGACATCTGTATTATTCAGTGGAGTATTTGCAGTTCACAAACAAATCAATACCAGTTTGCATACCCAATGTGGGAATCAAACTATGTCCGATTTTTAAAACACAATCGAGGGGACAAAATAGGCAAGGACAAAAGTCAATTGCCTTCAGCAAAGTGTTGCTAACTCCATTACTTCAGGAATGTCACTCATACCTCAAGGCACCGTTTCACCTATCCTTCTCGACTTTGAATCTATTTCCAGTTGTGCTTCTGCTTCACTGAGCTAGAACTGCGGAGAGCGTCCTGGGAATAAAATGGCCTTGAGTGACGTAGCAGAGACACACAGACACTTCCGCCCAGAGGACAACACTTTGAAAGATGTTCACTTTAAAAATATATACATTTTACGACGCTAGCGGTTCCAGGTTTGATCCCTGATCATTACTGACTGAGATGATAACAGCTTCAGTTAACCTCAGTATCCCTTGGCGCCAGGGTTCCCACTCCCAGGACCTGAAATTTCTCATGTTCTTAGGCTTAAAACCATTGTATTCAAATTTAATTTTGGAAAATTCATAAATTCAGTCTAAATGTGGAAGCTGGATTTCTGCAGTCCTTCTGGGTGCTGTGGAATACCACCTTCCAAACTAAGACTCAATTGCTTTGAAACAATTGATTTAAACATAGAATGGGCAGTATGCAAATAAATGTCACTGCTATTATTATCATACTATTAGAATTAATAAATGATGGAATAGTAAAATGTTTTACACAAAACTTCTGGTGTTTGGGTTTTTGTCCTGTGTCCTGCATTGTCACTGAATTGATGTGATGTGAAGTATTGGTGCACTTACTGCAAATCGTGCTGCTGCAGATACAGATTGGACTGAGGGTCATAGCCTGAGGATCAATGAAACCACCGTGTGACAGCACGTCAGTGTCAATATCATCAAAACACCAAAATAAACCCAGACAGCGGATTCAAAGATAACTGAGAAGCTATCTGAATTCTGCTATTTCCCTCTTTCTTGAGCAGGAGCCAAGCTCCTCCAGCGAGGCCTGAGATGCAAATAGATGAACTGAAATGTGTCTTTATAGAGCAGCAAGTTAAAGTTTGTTCCAATTTCTAATCACAATTTGGACACTATCCCATCTATTCACTGTTTATTTCAATTCAATATTAATTTGAGAAAATGAGGGCAATGAATATCAGGTTAGGAGTAGGATTGAAGCTTATAGGGATTAAAAATAGATGGTGATAATCAAATACTCCATGGAACACGAAGGCCGGGGTACTGCTGGGATCAAGGAAATGTGATCTGTGAAATGCAGCCAGGGTGAATGATGGAGACATGGGATAGATGGATGTCATGGAGTTTCATGTGTTTACTTTCAGGGAATTATTTATTGGTCACCCAGGTGTCCCGTGAATATGGAAACCTTAAACCCTTAGTGTCGATTTTTTGGGGTCAGCTGAGTGGGTGTCTGACCTGGAAACCCATCACCATGTTTAAGAGTATCCAACCAAAATGACATTTCCAAGCATCCCACCTACACATGGAAATTCCAGAGATAGATTGTTGGAATGGAATGCGCACTTTCCTCCAAGAGGGACACATCCTGCTTTCCTAATTCTGGAACATATTAGACGCAGGTTGGTAAGAGCCAAGGCTTGCGGACCCCAGAGTGTGCGTTGTGGTACTGCTGGAGTCTAATCAGCTAAAATTGCATAGCTTGCCATTGAAAGCACTGCAAGCTATCCTACTCCTTGTCCAGCTAGGACCACCCTACCCATTAGGGCTTTGGCTTGCAGGGTTAACAGGAGCTGAGTGGGAAGAGTCCCTGCCCCCAGTCACTGGTTCGCCCTTCCAAGTCCTGACGATGATCCAGGCTAGCTGTGCTATCATCAACAGTGCCCTAGAATACTGCAGACCAGTCTGGTTCAGGAACTGGACATTACCAAACTACCACAGAGGATGGGCTTGATTCTAACATTCTGCTAACAAATTTGTCACCTTGGAGCTAGTTCAGCTCCAAGGAAACCCAATTTGCTTCCCTGCCAAAGAGAGAGTAAACTAGTGTCTTTCCTGTTTGGAGAAGGGCGGGGCAATGTAAATGCTGTCTCTTTGGAGCTGAGTTGCCTCCAAGGTGATGTGGGAATGGAATGTCGGAATCGAGCCAACCTCAGTGGTGGTCTCGGAAGTCCTGAATCGGACGGTCTCGGTATTCCGGTTCCTGAGCCAGATGACAAGCTCAACATCACCTGGAGTGCCAGAATTAGGACAGGGATGCCTCCCACTAGGTTTCTGTTAACCTTGCAAACCAAAGCCCTAATGGGTAGGGTGGTCCTAATTGGTAAGAGGTGGGAAGCTTGCAGACAGTATTCTCAGAAGCAAGCTATGCGATTTTAGTTGGCTAAATTCCAGCATTTACCCCAACACACTCTGGGATCCCAAGCTTTGACTTTGACCAAACATACACCTTATACTGTCTCCAATTAGTAAGCAGGCTGCATCCATATATGTCAAGGCATCTGGCTGACCCCAAAGATATGGGAACCCATCACCATCACCATGTTTAATACTATCCAAACCTACACATGGATATTTTGCTGTGTCTGGAATTAAATGCACCCTCTCTCCCTGGGGTACTGCTGGAGTCTAGCCAGCTTGTCTAGCAAGTTTCTCACTGCTTGTTCAGCTTCGACCATCCTGTCCGTTAAGACGTCAGCTGGCAGGTTGCCTTCCATATATATGCGGATGACACCCAAATTTACTTTTCCTCCTCCAGCCATGACCCCAGGTCAGCTACTGTTCTGTCTTCTTGTTTGTCAGACATCAGGGCCTAGATGAGCGCCAACTTTCTGCAGCTGAATGTTGACAAGAAGTAAGCCAACCTCCTTGGCTCCCATCCACATCTTCTCACCCACAGCTCCGACATTGTTAGTCTTTCCGGCCTATTCCTCAGACTTACTGCTTCAGCATCAAAATCTGTCGCTATTAAGTGAGAGGCTATCCCATGTTAAGGGTGTTATATAAATGCAAGTTGTTGCTCTTGAGTTAGAAGAGCCCCTCCAAGTGATGCCAACAAGCCAAGCTGGTTAGTCAGTCATCAACATTGCCTTGGAGTAGTGCCTGGCTCAGGAACTGGATAGCATAGACCATCATCAAGGATTGACTCAAATTTGACATTCTATTGCCTGGCATACCACCTTGGAGCCAACTCAGATCTAAGGATTCCCTGCTTACCTTCTCCCCATAGACACTAGTTAGTCATTAGATATCTGAGAAACTCAGGTTAGGGCCCTCACTAGATGGATAGCAGGTACCAGGATCCCTTTCCAAACTTTTTGTTCAGCAGCATCTTGAAATGTGTGAGAACAATGCCACCATCCTCCCTTATGTACAGACTTGAACAAACATGGAGTCATGACAGAGCCATGCACAGATTAGGACATTGGGTGTGCAAGCGAGAGCACATGGCAGCTCAGGTTGCAGCGTGGCATTAACGTGTTTATTGGAGGGATTTAACTGTTTGACTTTACTTTCTTCAGAGCATAGTCAAGGACTCCAGATAAGTAAGAATTTCAGTTTGGGCGAAACCAATGTGAAGGATCTCGCAGGAGTGCCCTGATCCATGGGAGGGAACCTTGTAGACTCTGTCTGGGTGGCGATCCTATGTAAATTGTAGCTCGAGGGGATGGAAATCTATTTACTATTTAAAACATAAATGGGTTTTTACATTATCCTCAGATTAGCCAAGGATTAAAGGAAAGCTTCATTAATATGCTTTTATGGATCAAATGGCTTTTTTTTCTCCTTTTCATAGGCTTCCACATGAATGTTAAGCAGTATTTTAATCAAAAAAATGACCCAGTTATTCACCTTTTCATTTCTACAAAAACATTATTTTGTTAAGTGCTAACTTATTGATACTCACTAAGTGGAGCTGACTCTAGCCCGGCAGTGCCCACATTAGACAGTGGAATCTAGCCAATGTAAATAGTATATTCAGGGCAACTCCAGTGATCCCAAACTGTCATTATATTGTAAACATAAGTCAAAGTATTTCCAACTGAACTCAGTATGTTACTCTACATCCATACTCCCAAGTATGGATCACTAAAAATTCCTTCTCATGTCCTTAGCCTTAAGACAATTGTCTTAAAATTCAATATTTTGTGTAATTTTGGAAAATTCTTGTATAAAGTTTATTATTATCATTATAACTATATCAAATATAGTGCTTTTCATGTCAGGAGGATGTCCCAAAGTGGTTCACGGATATACTATAAAGTGCAGTGACTGTGTGTTTTGTGGGCAAACTCAGCAGCTAATTTACACTCAGCAATGTCCCACAAACAGCCATGAAGTGAGTGATCTATTTTATCCGATGATTGTTGACCAGGAGAAACTCCTTTTTCTTTTCAAATAGTGCCATGGAATCTTTAACACCCACAGGCAAATGGGACCTCAGTTTAATGCCTTAACCAAAAACGTCTTGATTTCAAAGCTATTTTTCTGCAGTTCTCAAAAAGTAATGAGGAAAATCGGCTTCCAAATAAACACTGAATTTAAGACTGTTTTCCAAAATTCCAAACACTCTAGAATTTAAAATACTGGTTTTAACCCAAGAACATTAATAATTTTATTCCTCAAGTAATCAGGTTACAAATGTGAAAAATCAGTTGTGGACTTAACATAAAGGTGCTACAATAGTGAAGGACAATGATGAGATAAGTTTTGTGATGATTTTCACCAATGCCTTTCAACTCAAAGATTGAATTACATCATTTTTAAAGACTTTGTAGTACTTTAAAGACATTGATCACTTTAAAGTTTAAAATCAGGATTTGTGTTAAGGTTCCAATCTAAAGCAATGTCTTGTTCAATCTCTTGTTCACGCCTTCATCACCTCCAGGCTCAACTATGCAAACGTCCTGATTGTCGGCCTTCCCAACTCCTCCCTCCACAGACTGCAGACAATCCAGAACTCTGCAACTCAGCACCAAGCTCTGTGACCCCATCTCCCCCACTTTTGCCCGATTCCACTGGCTCCCTATCCTTCGGAGGATCCAGTTCAAAATCCTGGTCCTCACATACAAAGCCCTCCATGGCCTGGCCCCACCCTACCTCTGCGACCTCCTAACCCCCTACCAACCCGCCCGTTCCCTCCGCTCAGTTGACTCTGGCCTGCTCCACGTCCAACGACCCACCCGCCCCACCATTGGCGGGAGAGCCTTCAGCCACTTAGAACCAACCTCTGGAATTCCATCCCCCAGTCACTCCGCCTCGCCCCCTCCTTAGCCTCCATCAAGTCCCGCCTCAAGACCCTCCTCTTCAATCATGCCATTGGCCACCCCCCTTCCCCTCCCCTCCCTTACCCCCCCAACCCCAACTCGGATCTGAAATGCTGTACACTATTCAGCACCTTGGGATATCCTCCCGACGTGAAAGGCGTTATACAAATGTAATCTTGTTGTTGTTGTTGTGGTCTGTTTCTTACTTGTGTTTTTCCTCCTGAACAGTAATCCATTGCCCACCCATGTCCCTTAGTTCAGCTAGTTGAAATTGGAGCCCACTACCGTCTAGACCATTTCTTCTACATATTCAGCCAGCGAGAGCGCACCTCCACGGGTCAATTTTAGGGAGGGGGAGACAGTCACAATTTTCTCATTCTTCCTATCAGGACAGTACAACTTAAAGTCGTTTCAAGACCATCCTCTTCAACCGCGCTTTTGGTTATCTACCCACCACCCTTCCCCTCCACCACTGTTGACTCCAGCCCGCAGCTCGGGTGCAGACTCTTGACTGTTCAGACCTGGGGACATTCTCCTGGCCTGAAAGGTGCCATATAAAAATGCAATTTGTTGTTGTTCTTCCAGTCAAGAACCAACAAATTTCATTCAAACTGGGCAAAGTGAGTCTAAGTGATGAGAGAACAGTCCTGGTGCTCAAACCCATGATCTTTGGTGGTTGGGTGGTTAGTGGTTTGAGCTTCATCGTTTGCAGTTTTCAGCCAATCTCACTGGAATAACTACCTTCACAAAGTCTTTATTTCAGGTACCTGATCATTGTTTCGGTTGCTCACAACCGCTTCGTACGGAGGAGGAGGATCAACCGGACAAAACACCTCAATCCCTTTCATCCTGGTTCCATAGATATGGGTCAGTGGAATCACGTCATTGCTGAGAATCCTGCAATAAGCATATCAGATAGTCAGCACCAGATGTCAGAGCACAGCACCAAATAATAGTAATAATAATAATAATAATCCTTGCATTTGATATAGCGCTTTTCACGTCTTCTAGGCATCTCAAAGCGCTTCACAAAATAGACTATAAAGTGAATTGACTGTATATTTATGGGCGGAATGCGGCAGCCAATTGCACACAGCAGTGTCCCACAAACAGTCGTGGATTGAAATGACCAATTTATCATTTTTTTTTAGGGATTATTATCAGGCGTGTGGAGTAAGGAAACTTGCCCAACGGTTCGCCCTACTGGGAATCAAACCCAGGTCTCTCGCTTGCAAAGCAAGTGCTCTAACCACTGAGCTACAGGACTCCATTGTTGATTTGTAGTTTTTGCAAATTGTCTTTTATCTTCAGTTATCAACTTTACTGCTCATTATCAATTTCATTGACAGTCTCTTCTATGAAATTTAGAAGTATTTTTTAAGATTGTTCTTTACCAAACATATTGCAGCAATGCTGTCAAAACTGTGATAGAAATAGGATTTACTGTATATTGATAAAATGTGTTGTTTAGGTAATAGTAATAATCCTTGCATTTTATATAGCGGCTTCTCACATGGTCGAGACATCTCAATGCGCTTCATTCGATATACTGTAAAGTGCAGTTATTGTATTTTCCCGGTGAACATGGCAGCCAATTTGCACACAGCAATGTCCCACAAGCAGCCATGCAATGCTCCCAATTTGTTGGCCAGGACACCGGGATAAACTCCCTTCTCTATTTGAATAGAGCCATGGGATCTTTAACGTCCAACCGAACAGGCAGACGGTACCTCGGTTTAACATCTCATCCAAAAGACACTTCCAGCACTGTACTGGATTATCATCGCAGGCTCTGTGAGTTCAAGTCCTGATGTGGGGCTTTCACCCTCAACCTTCTGACTCTGAGGCGAGAGCGCTACCACAGAGCCAGGCTGATACACGTACTAGATAATGCATTGAATAATACCATCCTTCAGGCTAATCGGCTTTCTTTCTCTTGATGGTGTGGGATGGCAATAGCGATACTGTGTTATGTCGATGTTATCAAAATACACTTTTGCTGTGGAAGACCATGTGCAATATCTCACTGCTAATTGAGTACAGCATAAACTGTTATAGAACACACTGTCATACTGTATCGTTGTGAATCCCTCTCTGTTGAACAGTGAATCTGTTTCAGTGGAACACATAAATGAAGTCTATCACCACCTTTAGTTATGCCAAGGCAGTAGCACAAGAGGGCACAGATCCATGGTGCGAAGGGAGATTTCATGGCAGAAACCAAGAAGCATTTCTTCACCAAGTTTTTTTTTAATTGTGTTATTAATTTCGATTCCATCTGCCTTATGATTCAAATGTGAACATTGCAGTATTTGTTCCTTTTACCACACCCTCCCCCAGCAGCTATTTGAAAGAAAACTGGAGGTTTTCCTTGGAGGTTTTATAATCTCCTCATTCAACTTCAGATCTATGGGTTTGTCATCTCACTGCTGTTTATTGGATAATATAAATATTATTATACTTGCATTTGATATAGCTCCCTATCATATTGTTGAAATGTTTCAAAGTGCTTCACAGAATATACGGTAAAGTGGATTGAATGGGTATTTTGTAGGTGAAATGTGGCAACCAGTTATGCACAGCAATGTCCCACAAACAGCCATGGAGTGAATGACCATGGCTGTTTGGGGGATTATTGGCCAGGACACTGGGAGAAACTCTCATCCTTTTTTGAATTGTGCCATGGGATCTTTAACACCCAACTGAATAGGCAGACATGACCTCGGTTTTACCTCGGTCTCATCCAAAGGATGAATGTTACTGCACAAATTGGCTGCAGCATTCGTCTGTAAACCAGCATTCATTTAACTTCTAATCAATTTTATTTTGTGAAGGGCTTCAAAATGTTTATTTTATGTGAAAGTCGCTATAAATATATTCAGGCTACTATTAATAATTAACAGCTGAGTAGGTTACCAGGAAAAGTGGTTGAGGGCACTGGACTGATTTAAGAAACAGCTTCACACTGTTGGTGTACAGGAAGGAAGAGATCAAATTGGTTGAAGCACCTTCTTTCTCAGAATCTTTCTTGTGATCTAAGATCTAATTAAAAGCAAGGAGTGAAAAGATGACTGATGACTGTCGCACAGATAATAATAATAATCTTCGCATTTTATTTAGCGCCTATAACGTCACAATATCTCAAAGTGTTTCATAGTAATTACAGTTAAGAGTAGTGACTGAATATTTGATGGCAAATGTAGCAGTTAATTTGCACACAGAAAAAGGATTTATATAGCACCCTCCACGCTGGACGGCGTCTCAGAGCGCTTCATAGTAACTGATCCCGGGGCCGAGCGAGGGGGAGGGGGAGGAAGGTGACCAAAGGCGCGGTCGAAAAGAAAGATCGTCAGCAGAGACCTGAAAATAGGAAGAGAGGGAATGAGATGAAGGGAGCGAGGAAGGCAGTTCCAGAGCCTCAGGGTATAGTGGCTGAAGGCGGAGGACTCGCGGGACGAGGAAGAGGCCAAACCCGGAGGAACAGAGGTAAAGGGTACTGTTTTGAGGAGAGAGGAGGTCAGAGAGGTAGGGAGATGCAGAGGAGGGACTTGAATACAAGGGTGAGGATCTTGAAATCGATCCTCTCTGGGATAGGCAGTCAATGCAGTCTGGCAAGGACTGGGGTGATCGAGGAGCGGAGTTTCGTGCGGGTGAGAATGTGGGCGGCAGAGTTTTGAATGATTTGGATTTTATGAATGGTAGTGGATGGTAGACCGGCGAGGAGGGCGTTAGAGTAGCTAGGACACAGGGAGAAATTCTCTTCTCTCTTCAAATAGTGCTGAGCATTCTTTAACATCCCTCTAAAGAGGCAGATGTGTCCTTAGTCTCACGTCTCATCTGTAGGATGGCACATGCGACAACGCAGCCATCCTGCAACACAACCTAGACTATGAGCTCAAAGTCCCTGATGGAGCTGTTCCAGGATACGCATATCCAAATTCCTCCCTGTTGTGCATTTTGTTGTCTATAAATTAATATATATTTAATTTTTTTCCCCCATGTTAATTCTCCTTTCCCTGCCTTTCCAGAAGGGACAGACTCTTCTGGAACAAAACCCAGCAAATTATCAGAATTTTTACACGTGAGGACTAGGGACACGGAATGAATGAAGTCTAAGTGTCAGCTCCACCGAGTGAGCATCAGTCCAGGGCACCAAAGGTCAAATATAAAGGGCTATACATTATGGTTTAAAGACTGCAGATGGTGCTGAAAATAAACAAAAGGGGAACACACAAAGGGAATGTAAAGAGTATAGAACTAATCTATGAAACCACCAACACATTGAAGTTTCTAGGCCTTAGATGATTTATACATGTCAATGGTTATTGTGAGACGTGTTTTTAATGGTGTGGGAGCTTCAATGCAGCGTGTGCTTACACAGCAGGCGCTTGGAGAGATGGGACAAGCAGGTCACTATAGAGGGTTTCTGTTGAACAAAGAACTGTTTTTTGCTTGTTTGTGGTCTTCATGATCACAGCATTGAAGCAAAGAAAACAATGTATTGTGAGAAACACAAAGGTATTGCTGAAGGTCAAGCGACCAGAGCAGGCCTGCATTAACCATTTAATTCCAATCTCCTCTTCCAACTGGTGCCAACAATCTCCTTTAACTGCTCAGTGATTGAACAGCTGAACCTTCCCCAAATTCAAGTTAACGCTGTTTATATTCAATCTGTTTTCAGAGTAGGGTTCCCTTAAGTCACTTTGATGTGCAGGATATACTTCCAATCACTGGGAGGAGATACACTCAGATTCCTGTAGCTCAGTGGTTAGAGCACTCTCCTCGCAAGCGAGAGACCTGAGTTGAATTCCCGGCAGGGCGAAACCTTGGGCAAGTTTCCTTATTCCACATGCCTGATAATAATCCCTCAAGAAAAAAAACAATAATAATTTGGTCACTTCAATTCATGACTGTTTGTGGGACACTGCTGCACGCAATTGGCTGCTGCATTTCGCCCACAAAATATATAGTCAATTCACTTTACAGTATATTCTATGAAGCGCTTTGAGATGTCTAGAAGACGTAAAAAGCGCTATATCAAATGCAAGGATTATTATTATTTATTTTTTCATTGAAAAAAATCTGATAACAAACAACGCCAACCGTACATACAAAGTATTGTATTTTCTCTTAAAAGTTAAGTTTCTTTCTTTTCATAACATAAAATCTGTCCAGTTTGAGTGGTAAGGTTTTGCGTTTTATACTGAATTCCTTCCCATGTCCCCCTTGACGTCTAACCAGACAGTGACACATCGCTCCAGGGCTTGTCAACTTAGGATCCGCGACGGTCCGCCAGGTGTCAGGAATTTCGGTTCTGAGAAAATGTTTAGGAAGTTGGGATTGTTTTCTTTGAAAAAAGGAGAATTTAAGGTGACCTGATTAAAGTTTTTGATGTCCTAAAGGGAACTGTTAAAGTCGATCCAGGTGAATTGTTCACTTTGGCAAAGAGTTGAAATCTTAAGGGACATTGGTTAAAAATGAGGAAGCTAGGAGTAAGAAAGAAAATCAGGTGGAATTTTTCACCCAAAGTGTAATTGACTGTGGAGCAGTTCACCAGGGAAAGCCATTGAGGCAGATCATGGAAAAGTTGCAATTGAATGGTTTTGTGGAGAGAGAAGCATTAAGTGATATGGGGAGAAGGTGGGTGAGAGTTGAGAACTACCAAAGGACAGCCTACTTAGGCTTAATGGCAATTTCCTGTTTCTAAAAATTCTTATGTACCAACGTGTCACCATGTCTCCTCAGCCATACCAACATCCTTCCCTATAATAAATTGTGTATCACGATAGATTGGCTGGATTAGGCCTGTTTTCATGAGAGAAGAGATGTTTAAGAGGGGATCTAATAGAGGTGTTTAAATTACAAAAGGGTTCGATAAAAAATAATAATTTTACAAATAAAATAATTTTACAAGTAAAGTAATGGGATATTTCAACACACAAAAAACTACTGATAATGAATGAGCCAGCTGGGTTCCTAGAACATTTCTTAGCTTCTATCCTAACCAGGGCAGTGAAGGCTTTGGGCACAGTGAAGGGACTGGAGTGATTTGATCAGTATAGAGCTCCATTCCCTACAGGGAACTGGGCTAGGAATAGCATCTTCCCTACCGTGGATTGATCCGGGGCGTGTAGGAGCAGAAGGTGGAGAAGTACGGAGGAGGTGGAATTGGAGGAACAAATTCCTCAGGGTCCGGCGGGTGGATTGGCTCTTCAGATTCTTCTGGGGGAATCTGGGCTTCAACCTGAAGAGAAAATCACAGTAAGTGACAAGGACAAACACCATGAAGACATTTTCACTACGTTGATACCAGAGCTGCAGGTTACTGCTATCATGATGGACTGGTTAGGTTAGACCAGTTTTCACTAGAGAAAAGATGTTTAAGAACGGACCTAATACAGGTGCTTAAAATTATAAATGGGTTCAATAGGGTTAGCATAAACAGGCTGTTCCCACTGGTTGGGGAGTCTGTAACTAGGGGACACATGTATAAGATAGTGACTAGGGGATGTAAAGGGGATTTAGGAGGAATACTTCATGCAGAGAGTAGTGAGATTGTGGAACTCACTGCCCAAAGGTGGCAGTTGAATCAGTTGGTGTAGATGCATTTAAGACAAAGCTGGACCTTCATGTGAGGAATTAGAAAGATACTGGAGGGAGCAAAATAAAATTGGTCATTCACTTCATGGCTATTGTAGAACATTGCTGTGTACAAATTGGCTGCTGTGTTTGCCCACAAATACAGTCACCTACCACAGTAAGTCCTGTGAAATGCTTTGGGACGTCCTCCCAACGTGAAAGGCGCAAGAGCAAATGCAAGGATTATTATTTTATTTAATGCATAAAATTCTAAGTCAATAAACTCACCATCCGGGGTCGTCTGCCGGCAAATATCTGCAGGTACTGCAGGGCAGCAGCCACCACACACACCGTGGTGGTCAAAGCATTAAGGACACAGATAGCAAAGAGAAGATCCTGAAAGAGAGAGGAAAACACATTGAACGGCTTGTTCATCTCTTAGCAACCTTAACCCTACTTCACTATCTTTTTGCTATTAGTATGCCATTGGGAAGTCTTATTTATTCTTTATGGTGGGCAGACGTTTTGGAGATATGATAGTTATAACCAGTGAGAATTATCACATCACATGCCACACAAATTTCTCCCCAACCCCCACCATTCCATTGGTTGACTTTAGTTCATAATCCCTTTTAGCCTTTCCCATCTCTCAATTTGCAGCTTTTGTATACTTTTTTTTGTTTTTCCTTTTTATTATCAGTCCTGGAAATGCTACAAGCTTCCCTCTTTTTCAGATTTGATCTCAACTTTCTATTCGTCTACGCAACCTTTAATACAGTCCCTTTTATCTTTGCTGTAATGTAAATAATCCTTGCATTTGATATAGCGCCTTATTACGTCGTCAAGATGACTCAAAGTGCTTCACGTGATTTTTGCCGTTAAATGTAGTGACTGTGTATTTTTTAGGCAAACACGGCATCCGATTTGCGCACAGCAATCTCCCAGAAGCTATGAAATGAATAACTAATTTAATGAGGATTATTGGCCAGGAGAAACTTCTTTCCCTCTTCAAATAGTGGCATGTTATCTTTATAACACCCACTTGAACAGGTAGACGGTTTAATGTCTTAATTGAAGGATGACAACCCTAGCACTGTATTTAAGTATCAGTCAAAACTGTGACTGGCCTTACTACCTTCAAAATAAATATCTCCCATATTTAAGATCATACCACCCACCAAGTCAGTTTACTCCAAGCTCAGCCGACTACTTTGATCTTGAGCCCAGAATGACTAGCTCCCTGACAGTTCACTGCCAACCACTCAAACCATTTCATAGCTGATAGCAAAATACACACTGAAAACCTCCACTTTCAACCCAAGCAAATTTGGTTTGTCTGGATGGCAAAGGCCAATGTGCTTCTGGTGTTTCAGTAAAGTTCAATTTGTATCCAGCTGCACCCACTCAACTGTTATATTAAGTTTGAATACATTCCACAAAGTAGGACTGTCTCATTGTACTGTACAGCCTCTTATAGGAATATAGAAACGGGAGATGGCCATTCTCTTGATCATGTACCCCATTTTGCTGCCTTTTCTCCATTTTCCTTAATAAACTCACTTCCCAAATATTTATCTGTTTTGGATAAATGTTTTGAGACAAGAATAAGGCTACCGGATTGACCCCAAATTTTACACAAAACTGATGTAAGGCTAATTGGCCTATAGTTCTCTGCCTTATCCCTGGCACCCTTCTTAAAAAAAGGCACCATACCTGCCACCCTCCCATCCTCTGGCACCCCACCAGACTCAAAGGATATAGAATCCATTGATGTTCAGCTGTTTTACGCGCCAAAAGTTAACTCTAAATTATGCTACAGAAAACTCGCATAAGTCTGATCTGTATAAATTGTATAGTCGCCTAAGTGGTACATCTGCCCAAGTCCTGTTCAAGAGTTTATATTCTATGTAAGCTTGACATAACTGAAACTTTGCATAAATCATATTAAATATATAGTTCCAAGTGATACAACTCATATGAGATTGAATGTACCTTGGGAGATGGGAGGAGGGGGAGGGTTGGGATTTATATGAGGTATCAGTCATCACAAATAGATTAGAAATTGTGATATTTCATAACAGACTCTATCACATCAGAACTGTTAGGAAATATTAATATTTCCAGCCTATGATTTTTTTAACAACTAGTGTGTGGAATTAATATTTTATTTGTTCTTCCCGGCCTCTCAGCTCCCAGTCTGACCTCCTCTTGCTGGAGTGCAGTTCCACAGGGGCTGGCTTGCCTCCAGTAACCTCTGCCCAGTGGCCACTGCTTATATGTCAGCTCTGGCAGGTCACTCGGCTGTTGAGGGTGTCATGGCTGAGCTTGACCTGTTCCCACTCAGCTACTGCACACACACACAAGTACGCAACTAGTAAAGGATGTTATAAAGGGGCCAGCTGTCCCCGATTTACCAGACATTCACTAGTTCTCTTGACACTTTGCCAGAGAATTGCCGTTTCACACTACATCGGTCTGTCACTAATGCCTGAACAGTACCTTCAGCACGAGCCGGACAGTGTCGCACGAGACTGAGAGCACAGGGTACAGGATCAAGATTTCTTTCTTATCAGTGCATCTTGTTGCTTGACTTCCCTCACAGCAGAAGCAATCCCTGCCCTCCACGACTTTGACCTTTGATCAAAAGTGGAGAAGAGTGTTACAGATGTATCCTGAAGAGGATGAACAATGATAGTCTTGGCTGGTTACCCTCAGCACTGAGTGGCTCTCTAGACACAGAATGTCCAAGACAACAACAACAAACTGCATTTACATAGCGCCTTTCACATCAGGAGGACACCGCAAGGCGATGGAAAATAATAATAATAATTGTTGAATTTGATATAGCGTCTTATCATGCAGATGAGACGTCTCAAAGCGCTTCACAGAATATATTGTAAAGTGAATTGACTGTGTATTTAGTGCGCGAATCGCGGCAGCCAATTGCAGACAACAGCAGTGTCCCACAAGCAATCGTGGATTGAGTGAATTTTTTTGAGGGATTATTTTACCCCCAAAAAGCAATCCACCAAATGACTAACAATCAGATTCCTACTTCCTGCTAGGTAAACAGAGGCATGTGGAATAAGGAAACTTGCCTAAGATTTCACCCTGCCCAGAAAACGCTGGCAGACCTTCATGATTTGTCAAGTACTGTTATTCATACCTTACTAAATATTTAACCCACACAGTATCTGTGAGACATACAACAGTATATTGTCTACAATTCCCTTAAATACATGGGGAGAAATCCACCCGGGTCTAGAGCTAATCTATTTATGTGGCATTTTAGAGCATCTATTCTTAAACACAGCTTTAATTTTGAGGATTGTTTTCTGTTAAGAATTGCAGAAAATTAACTTAAAAGTCAGGACTAAATTCAACAATTTGTGACTTGCTGGGTGCTCTGAAATGCTACATAAATAGTATAAATCTGGAACCAGCGGAATTTCTCCACAATCGCCTTGGTACAGCACCCTATATAAAGCTTTTTCTAGATACAATGGTCCTTACATTCAAGCACTTTTCATGTCAGGAGGATGTATCAAAGCACTTCACAGTGTAAAATGTAGTGTCTGTTTACCCTGCATGCTGTAGGCAACCAAATTGTGCACAGCAGTGTCCCACAAACAACCATGAAGTGAATGATCAATTTTAATTTCACTTTGAACAAGTACTTTGATTAATGGCTGAGTGAACCTATTGGACTTGAAGGAGGCAGAGAGAGGGTGAGGCGGGGGATAAAGGGATAGAGTGCTAGACCTTAAGCAGGTCGGTGTCTGCTTAGCGGAGGGAGTGGACAGGCTGATATAGGGTTAAGAAGTCGGAGAGGTAGTAGGGAGCAAGACCGTGGAGAGCTTTGAAAGTGAGAACGAGGGTTTTGTACTCGATTCTCTGAGGGATGGGGAACCAGTGAAGCCAGGCAAGAACGGGGGTGACTGGTTTGCAGAGCCTGGTGTGGGAGAGGTGTGAGCTGCAGAGTTCTGAATAATCTGCAGCTTGTGAAGGGAAGAGTTGGGAAGCCCACCGAGCAGGCAGTTGGAGTAGTCAAGCCGGGACATGATGAAAGCGTAGATTAGGCTCTTAGCGGACTGTGGTGAGAGGTCTAGTATTGTTAAACTGAGTAGCATCAGTGACCTGAAGCCTCTCCATTCCCCAATTAGACTCTTTCACTTCTATTTACTTTCTCCCCACCGCCAGACAGACAAAACACGATTTTAAAAAACAAGTCTTGTTTAGTTTCGTTCAATGAGTTTTATTTTTTTTAGTATCAGGTTCAATACTATTTCACATTCCCTTCGGAAAGCCTGTTATACTCCTCCCCCCACCCTTATTGTTGTTGGATCTTGATCTGGAGCAGCTTGTAGCTTGTGATCCCCTCCCGCCGAATAAATTCATAACACTTCAATCAGGGAATATCTTTAAAAATCTGCTGAACGTCCACCGGTTCACGGACAAGTTCTGCGACGTGGTCTCAAGTTCGCTGCCTCGTCCCCGAGGGGTTCGAGGAGTGCTCCGTCCCCATTATCCCCCTTCCAGGCTTTCCCTCCCCGGTGATCTCCAAATGTGGGGCCCTTCAGTTGAAGCAGCCGGCCTTGTGCCACTGCATGTCACGGATCCTGCGCATGGACTGGATCTGGGGCTGACGGCCTCCCCACTGGTTCCAGTGCTTGTAGTCGTTCTTCTCAAACACGTACTGGTAGCCACGGTAGCCGGGATACTGGTACCCCACCCAGGTGCCACAGCCCACGCTGACACTGCCGACGCGGTCGGTGAACCCGTAGGAGAACAGGCTGGGCACGTCATTGTCGGTGATCTCCATCTTGCGGCCCTTGAACTCGGCCATCTCGTACAGGCAGATCTTGTGCTGCTCGGACTCCATGCGCACGGGCCTGAAGGACATGATGTACTCGCTCCTGTGGCTATTGGACCAGGAGTCCCAGCGAGGGTACTCTCCCTTCTCTAGGATGAACATCTCGCCGCAGAAGTTGGACAGCTCGTAGAACACCCAGGGACCGCAGTCCACCTGGATGGAGCCCACCCTCTCAAAGCCACTTTCACACAGGTTCATGCACTCGCCAGAGAACTCCTTGAAGCGTCCCTGGAAGTTCTCCTGCTCGTACACGGTCATCCTGTACGAGTTCATCCCCAAGTCGAGTTTGCGGGCCTGCATGTGTTTCCTCTCGGCCTGAGGAGTGGTCCTGGTTGGTTTGTCTGACATGGCTGCTGCTGGGTTGCTTTCGAACAAAGTTGCTTTTTGCCTCTCACTGCAACTGGGCTGCTCCAGTGACTTTCACTCTGTCTCTGAGCTAGAGAACTCGATACTGTGGAGTCGGGCCATCTACCCTTTTATATGTTGCTTTGGCCCCAGAGGGGGATTAACCTGGACAAAGGGAAGTGCAGAATCGACACATGGATAGAATGAAAATCCCAAGCGTCAGGGAAGATCACGTGTGAGCCGACAAAAGAGAGGGGGGGGGGCGAATGAGAAAAAGCCAGGTCAGCAAGAAATACTCTGTTCTAGCACTGCACAGGGATAGAGTGAGGGCAGGGGAAACAACGATGGGACATTGCATCAAGTGTCCTGCCATAACTGGGGAGAGAATCCATCTCGCTCTAGATTAACTTTATTTTCTGGGCATTTCGGAGATTGTATTCGCAAATTTCTGAATTAATTCTTCAACAGTTTATAGCTGTTTTTTTGTAGTTCTTAAAAGAAATATAGGTGTCAGCCTGGCTTAGTCAGTAGCACATTCGCCTCTGAGTCAGAAGAATGTGGGTTCAAGCATTATGTCGTGAATCTGAGCTCATATAGTCTTGGCTGACACTCCAATGCAGTGCTAGGGTGCACTGTGTTGTTGGAGTTGCCATCCTTCAGATGAAACATTAAACCAAGGTCCCGTCTGTCTATTAAGGTGTATGTTAAAGTACTTGTGGCACTTTTCAAAAAGACATGGGAGTATCTCACAGTATCCTGGTTAACAAATCTCCCAAATAAAATTGATCACTCACTTTATGGCTGTTTGCTGGACATTGATGTGCACAAACTGACTGCCGCATTTGCCTACAAATACCCAGTCACTCCATTTCACAGTCAAAATCGTGTGAGACGTTTTGAGATGTTTTGATGATATAAGGCAAAAATATCAAATGCAAAGATTAATATATTTTATGGAATAACTTATTAGTGTTATGCCCCTCGCCCACCCATCCCCACCATCTTTAGTGGAATACTGACTACGTTCAAAGGTCATTCAGTTTTTCTCTGAAGAATGAAGCCATTCTATACATTATATATGAAAAAAGTTGTCTGTGCTGATGCTGTTGATTCAGCGATATTCATGGGTGACTGCTTCTGTCTCAATGCAGGCTGGGCAATGATAGCTGGGAACTGCAGCTCTAGTTGGATGCCCGTGAGCAGGAGCATTGCAGTCAGTGCACATCCACCCTCACTCAGTTTCTATTACACAGAACCGCACGAGTTAACTCCTGACATGGGATTTCCCAAAGCCTCAGCAGGCAGAAGGGCGCTGCAGAGTACTGTAGGCCAGCAAGGATCAGTAAAGTTCCAGTGGAACCCCTGTTTCACACAGATGTTGGTTGATAATAATTGTAATTCTTCTATTATCATGTCGAAAAATCTCCAAGAATTGTCTGTTAAGTATAGTTAAGTTTAAACGCTCTGAGACGCTACCTTGCGTGGAGGACGCTATATAAGTGTACGTTGTTGTTGCCGTTGTTGTAGTGTCTGTGCATTTGTAAGTGAAGGCAGCAATTTTGCTCACAGCGTTGCTCCAGAAACAGCTGTGAGGTGAATGACCAGTCAAAGAGTGAAGTCAAAGAATGCACTGCATGGCCATTCAGCCCAAGCCATGCCGGTGTTTACACTTCACACAAATCTCCACCCATTTCTTTACTCTCTCCCATACCCTCTTATTTTCCTCCTCAAATAAATAAATAAAAATAATTATTTGGTCACTCAATCCACGACTGTTTGTGGGACACTGCTGTGCGAAATTGGCTGCCTCATTTCACCTACAAAATATATTCTGTGAAGTGCTTTGAGATATCATGAAGACATAATAAGGCGCTATATCAAAAGCAAGGATTATTATTATTATTCTTTAATCCATTCTGCTACCTCTCCCACAATTCCACATGCTGCTAATTTAGTGTTGAGCCTCTCATGTGGCACTTTGCCAAAGGTTTCTGGAAATCCAGATAAGACTACATCCACTGCATTTCCCTCATCTACTTTATCAGTTACATCTTCAAAGAATTCAAAATGGTTAGTCAATTTTTTTTTTAATCTGGTGGATTGTTAGCCAGGACAATGAGAGAAACTCCCTTTTCTTTTACAATAGTATGGGATCACAGCACAGAGAAAAAATAAAAAATTAATTTGGATACATCTCACAGATGAACAATCTGCAACGTCCAGATTCACACAAAGAATTACAACTTGGATAAGTTAGTGCAGGGCAGCTTTTTCCTTCAGGATTTTGTGCTTTAAGACATCTCAACGACGTGATCAGACACTATATCAAATGCAAGGATTATTATTATAACTGAGGCCGTCTGCCACTTCTTCAGGTGGACAACAACAACAAATTACATTTGTATAGCGCCTTTCACATCAAGACGATATTCCAAGGCGCTGGATAGATAGTGATTTGTGCCCGAGCTGGGGTTTGGGATCAGGAGGAGTGGAGGGCAGGGAGGGTAGGGGTAGGACAGTGACCAAATTTTCAATTCTTAGTGTGTTTAATCTTCTACCGATGAGTACTAACTAGTAGTTCCACCCCCTTAGGATATCTTGCTTGTTGAAAGCCAGCAAAGCCTGGGTGTTGACGTTTCCTAATCACCTTGCCTGGATGATAATTAAACTGCATTCCTGGGTAGGAGGAGGGATTGATAAGACTGAAACATTCTTACTTGTTGAAGAGTCACAAGCAGTATTCTTTCTACCTGGCTCTGTTACACTGGTAGCTCTCATTCAGTGCTTAGAACTGTATTGCATTGTCTGGGTGAAAAAATAAGATATGTGGGGGGTCAAAATTTCATTCAGCATAGGGTGTGTCTGAAGCCTCTGGTGATAATGGGGATAAACCATTATTCGGTCACAGTCACACCACTTTACAATGTATCCTAGGAAGTGCTTTGAGACGTCTCGATGACTTGATAAGGAGATAATCGAATGCAAGAATTATCATCATTATTATTATTAACATTGATGCTTAATGCGAATGGACATTTTACCAATTGGTGTGCTGATTGTCACACTGCTGGAAATTGCAGTTAAGCCCGGTTTTGATTACTGATCAATGGTGTGACTTTGTCTTCCCCCCAATCCCATCTCCCCCATCCCAATGCAGCATAAAGATTGGGTCCACAGCCTCCGGTGAATGCTGTTGGGAATTGTGGAGTCCAGCGCTTCACAGGGGACTGGTTGAGGTTTGTCGACATCACATTTCGCCCACAAAATATACAGTCAATTCACTTTACAGTATATTCCGTGAAGTGCTTTGAGACGTCGCGAATCCTCACCAAATGCAAAGATTAATCCCTCCAAAAACCCAAAACAATAATAAAAATTGGTCATTTTCAATCTACGACTGTTTGTGGGACACTGCTGCCGCGTTCGCCCACAAATATACAGTCAATTCACTTTACAGTGTGTTCTGTGAAGCGCTTTGGGACGTCCTCCCGACGTGAAAAGCGCTATATCAAATGCAAGGATTATTATTATCCCACGATTTGCCACTCAAACAGGAACGCCATCGGCAGCTGCTGGAGTCTTCGGGTCAGCTTCGGGTTAAACCGCTGTGCCAAGGTTCGGCCAGGGAGGGGTTGAAACACTCGGAGCTCATGGTTATCGACTGGTTTGACTACAATTTTTGGTGACGGGATAGTGCAAACTCTTGTTCTACCTCAGGACTGGAAGTCAAAGATGCAATCCAGAGGCCGACACCTAGAATGGTGTCAAGGAGTAAGTGTCTGCCTCGGGCACATCTGGGAGTTCCTCTTTGATACTTTATGAATATCTTAAGTTAAACTGCACCCAACATCTGCACATTGAAAGGGACACATTTACTGCAGCAAATCTTGTTAAGCACTTTTTGACAATGTGATAAGGCGCTGTTCCGCCCACAAAATATAGAATCGGTTTCACCCACAAAATATACAGTCAAGTCGCTTTACAGTATATTCTGTGAAGCGCTTTGAGACGTCTCGACGACATGATAAGGTGCTGTACCAAATGCAAGGATTTTTAAATATATCAAATGTAAGGATTGTTCTTATTATATTTTACACTTTGGGCTCAGCATCCGGACCACTTATGCAGATTAGAAACAAGAGTCCGAACAGCAACTCTTATGGGTATCTGTTCAGCATTCTCTCATTGCCACCCCCAGTCTGACAATAACATCTCATTCCATTATCTTCCCATGTCCCATTATTAACCTTTTTTATATTAAGTCCCACATGGAGCTTTGCCAAAAACTCTCTTGATAGTTTAAACATTATCATATTCAGTGTTAATTCCAACCTGTAACAACGTTAAATAAGTCAGAGAGATTTGTTAGACATTGATCCTGATTGAAACCCATGCTGGAGGTTTGCTAATATGATATTGTTACAGAAATATTCCTGCAGCTTGCCGTTAGATTATATTCCATTCCATTGTTGATGGTAAGCTAAACGGCCTGCTATGTTCTGGCTTAGTTACATTATTCTGAGCAAATATCCCCATCGCATAGTTCTTCAGAGCTTCATTTCACTGTCACGCATGAAATTCATTGCAGTATCTAACCCTCCCAACCCTCACTTCTCATAGCACCAACCAAAAGGAGGCATCACCCCTTACTTACCAGCTGGCAGTCCACTATACTGGAGACAAATTGAGCACTCTGGCATGACAGGACAAATCCAGCCAAGTTTAGGAGAACACAAACCACGGACAGCAGGATGAACAGGTTCACCTTGAAGAACAAGAAAGGAGAAAAGGTCAAATCAATGATTGCTTTAGCATAAAGTGACAGGAGCACATATATTCCTTGGAGTCACATTACCTCCATCCTCGTCCAACTCCATGGGATCCCAGTATCTCAGAGAATCAATTTCAAGATCCTTGTTCTGATCTTCAATTCCCTCCAGTTTTGCCCCACCCTACCTTTACAACCTTCTTCAGACTTATGTGCTTGAATGTTCCCTCCACTCTTCCAACTCTGGTGAACTACCTGCTTTACTATCGACAGTCAGACCTTCAGCCTTTTTGCACCTTCGCCTCGCCCCCCTCCCTTGCCTCCTTCAAGGCCCATCTCAAGACCTTCCTTTGCAACCATGCTTTTGGTCATCTTCCCTCCTCCACTCTCCTTGCCCTCCTCCCCTCTCTGATCCCAACAAGCAGCTCGGGTGCAAAGCACCCATTCTCCCGTGCCTTGGGACGTCCTCCTGATATGAAAAGCATTATATAAATGTAATTTGTTGATGTTGTTTTGTTTCCTTCACTCCACTTTCAGTTATCAAGACTCCAGGGTTCATGCCTCTGGCCTCTAGAATACTCTTCCCAAAACACTTTGTTCTGTTACCACTGTCTCTGCCTTCAAAACCTACTTAAAAACATCTCTTTGACCTTTGTTTGGTATCTTTAAATTTCTTATCTTCCTGCTGGGTAACCACAACTTACTCATAAAGCTCTTGGAGGCATTCTTTTATGTGAAAAGCACTGTGGAAATGCAAGAGATTTGGCTTTTTACCCCATCTCATCTCCAGGGAATGTTATTTTAATATTTTGTCATGAGCCACCTTATCTCAATTACAGCTCTGCACTCCTAAGCTGTATGGCCACTTCACTGGAGAAACTCTGTGCCAGGAATAAAGATGCATGTTTCAATGTTACAGAGCAAAACAACCAAGCGTTTGTACAGCTGGTCACTGACCAGATAAAACTCACGAGTTTCACAGCTTTGGTACAGGAGAAACTTAGGTTAGAAATGGATGTGGGTGCACTTTTACAACTGGGATGTGTACATTTCACTGTGAAAAACAGAAATTAAAATACAACAGCTAAAACATTTGTAAGCAAAAGCACTATACAAAACTTCTCAATGAGGCTGGGAGGAGAAAAGTCTTAAACAATAATAAAGCCACCCTGCATTGGGCTCATATTAAAGGAGCATATTACTTCTGTTTATTTTTTGTTCAATTGGGTATATTGTACCACATCTCATCTCTAGGGGATGTTATTTTAATATTTTGTAATGACAAGCACTCTGGGACGCTACCCCGCTTGAAGAGCGCTATATAAATGCAAGTTATTGTTGTTATTGCACCGCCATTTCGCAAGAAGTTACTTAAAAAAACAAAGCTCTTGCACACTCACTCCCTGACTGGTTCCAACTTGCTCCTGATCACTGAGGAGTGGCTCAGTGGCAGTGAGTTTGTCAAGTCTGTCACTGTGACCAGGGGTGTCTGTGAAGTGCAGTCAGACTACAGGCAGTTCTCAATCGCTAACCCCCACCCTTCTGTATTTCAGTGAACCTATCAAGGACAGCTGCTCAAGAAATTTATTTAACTGTACAAAAATCTGACGTGTTTGTAATTGGCAGATTGTTACAGGAGCTTTTGCACTCACAGCTGAACAGGCTTCAAATTAGAAAATGCAAGCCAATAAACAGGAGACCAGATACTTAAAGGTCAAGTGAGAGAGCCACATTTATCTTGCTCCATTGAGAATAATAAGCTCATTGAATAACCATAGCAACACATGTTGTTTTCCAAAACGACAAGGAAGCGATGATGTTCGTTCCATAATTCTTCTGGCAGAACCCCTTGAACTGAAATGGTCTGTTTGTCTCACACAGTGCATGTTTCTGGTGCCAGGACATAACTCCATCCTCTCAAATCACGCTGCAGCGGTCTGGAGTGACAGAATAGCCTGCACCACTCCAGGCACTGACTGACTGCCCTGTGTCAGGGGACAGGGCTGGCCGCAGAGATATACTGAACTGGTCACCATTGCAAGGAAGGAAACTTTGTATCTATCGTTTAATTAATAAGGAAATAGTGTGCGGACAATTTGGATGTTAAACAATTGTTTCCTATGATAGTTCCAGCTGGTAACTGTCGACCTTCAGATCTGGAGGATGTCTCAAAGCGCATCACAGAGCCTGGGGGTCAGAGTGGGTGGGGGAGCTGAGGAAGTGTGTGGGGGTGGAACAAAAGCAAGGTCAAAAAGAAACGTCTTTAAAAGTGGGGAGGGAGAGAGTGATCCAGATAGAGTTCCAGAAAGGGGGAGGGCAACATGGCTGAAAGCTCATCTTGTGAGGCAGAGGACATGAAGCAGGTCGGAGTTTGCTGAGTGAGGGAGGAGGCAGAGCGGCAGGGTTGCAGGAGGCAGATTGGGGCAAAGTCATGGATGGATTTGAAACTGAGCACGAGGATCTTGAATTTGATCTGCTGGGGCAACAGGGGAGCTGAGCGAGGATGGGGATGATAGGCTCGCAGAGCCTGGTTCGGGAGAGGACACGAACTGCAGAGTTCCGGGTGATCTGCTGCTTGTGCAGGGAGAGCCAGGGAGGCTGGGAATATTAGAGTCTGGAGCTGTGTTCCTCCACACCTGCACAGGCATCAGGGGTCGCTGCATTGAATGCTTCATCAATCAAGAGAAATCCAAGCTCCAAAAAATAGTGTTATACGTTTCTCAACAAGTTTAGACAAGCGAGTCGTGAGAGTAAGTATCTCAGAGGGGACCTCATAGTGGTGTATTACATTTTGAATGGGACTGAAAAAGTAAACAAAGAACAATAATTTGGATGCACCAAGGCAATAGAACGAAAGGACACAGGTTTAGAGTTGTGAAGGGCAATTTCAGGACAGGAAGTTTTTCTTTACCAGAAGGTAAATAAATACTGGAACAGGTTGCCGGGAGGAATGGCTGAGGACAGGACACTGGTCTCATTTAAAAGGCAGCTTGATACTGCGAATGGGAGGAGAATAGGTGAGCGTTCTAGAAGGATGAGAGAGGTCGAAAGGTCTTCTTCATCCAAACTAATCTTGTGATGTTGTGATAAGTGATTTTTTAAAAAGAAAGTAACTACCCACTTTAATACACCCACTATCAAAACTTTTTATACTGTCTAAAACAAATATATAGACAAAGAGGTGTCTGCGGAGCTGAAATGTCAACTTGACAGTCACCTGTCATAACATGTTTAAACGTTTAAAAGGCCTTTAACGAAGCACCATAAAAGAGACTCCCTCACTGTCAATCCATATCAAGAGTAAGATAAAGGTGTTGTTTTTAAAATAACAGGACAAAGGGAAGGAAGCACAGGGTAGTTGTAAGAGCATCCTGTTCATGATTGGGGGGTGGGGAAGAAAAGGAATTGAGGAATTCCTCAGTAGTTCATTGCAACTCCACATTCAAAAAGGGACAAATCTCTTATTTCTTCATGAACTCAAATGTAAATGAGTTGAAATATCATGATAATAAAGTGGTTTTACAACCCAGTAATCAGGTGTATCCATCAATGATTCCTGTGATCACAGGACCAAACCTAACGAACTCCAAAGGGAATTTAACCATCTGTAGCAACACTTAACCTTGAGCGTGCATTCTCATTTTCAATCAGATCTTTGACAAGCTTGATTTGTTGACACAGGATTAGACATTTTTGATGGGAGAGTCTTCCCAACATGTACTGTTCTCCAAAGGAAGAATGTTTGCTAACATAATATTCATGTCTTCTTATTCTGCAATCACATTTAAAAAACCTGCTTCAATTTATATCATCTATTCCTTTCAGCCCTTTAAAGATATGGATTCCCTCCCTCCCATTCAGATAAAAGCCTCAAAATGTTCAGCAATGAAAATCCCTTCCCAATAACTTAAAATCAAAGCTTGGAATACAAATTTACATTTATATAACACCTTTCACAATGGGAAGACGTTTCAAAGTGTTTCATACTGATTGAGTTGGGGGAAGGGGGGAGGCAACCAAAATTGCAGTCAACAGAGGCAACCAGTGATTAGGACTAGAGGGGGTTCAGCCCCTCTCCAAATTTATCTACAGCTCACCTCTTTAAGGGGAGCTGGGAAGGAAAGCCCTGAGCCTTGAGGAGGACCACAAGTTAGAGGGAAAGTTCCCTGAAAATTCACCTACCAATGCTGGGGCAGAGAGGGTGGGAGTCATGAAGCAGACTAGCATTTGCTGAGCAAAGGGAGCAACCGTGGCAGTAGGGTTGCAGGGGGTCATAGAGATAGACTGGGGCAAGACCATGAAGGGATTTTAAAGTGAGGATTTTAAATTTGATCCAATTGGAAGCCTGTGTAGTGAGCAAAGATGAGGGTAATCGGCTCTTGGAGAGCACACAGGCTACAGAGTTTACTCTATTGTATCCAGCACCCATAGTCTTTTGTGACCATTGCGTTAACAAATACAAAATCCTGAATCTATAGCTCAAATCTATATTATCTATGCAGTTTAGCCGGTTAGACACCTGCAGTACCCCAAAGCACACTCTGAGGTCTCCAAGCCTTGGCTCTTGCCAACCTGTGCCTAATACTTTCCGAATTAGGTAAGCCAGATGCATCCCTCCAGGGAGCGCATTCCATATGTGGATGGGATGCATGGAATTCTCAGTTTGGTTTGGATACTCTTAAGCATAGTGATGGGTTTCCGCCTGGGTCAGATTCTCGGATGACCAAAAAAAAGCAATTTAAAGATATGGATCCTATCTCCCTTTGTATTTTCGAAGAGTCTTGCAACAAAAACTGTTAATGCTATGTCAACTAACACCTCTACAAGACAGCCTCTCAAATAATCCACTGTAGTACACAGTCCATCAGGCCCTTTACAATAAGTCCATGATGATGGATCTGCTGGTCGGATGGACGTATGCTCAGTTATATGTCTACTCATGAACACACACAACTGCTACAATATTGTTTCCATGTGCAAGTTGTTTGTCCTTGGTT